ATGCATGATGAGGTTGGTCTAAGGTAATGAAACAATAAAAATGAGGTGCCCCTGTTTCTTCTCCATTTATTTTAACATATAATCCCCAAGAAGAGAGTAAATACTGTTGTGCCATGGCTGCTTCATGGGCAAAGCTACTAGAAGATAAAGTAGAAGGAGGAAGGAAAGTTTGTGTGCAGCACAACAGATATGGCATTTTATGTAATATCTCCGTGCATGTGAGCAGTGCTGTGGGTTTGGAGAATGAAATATTGAAAGAAACTGGGCGTGTGGTACTTTTGGTTTATTTCCTATAGTATTTTTCACAGTGTTGATATGAATATTGCACATCTTTTCATAATTACTGGTTCACTTGTGGAGGTCTTCAAGAGAACCGTAAGCATCTTTCTTCTGCAGTGCAGGAGGAGATCTCAGTTTATCCCTTCACATTTCTCAGGCAAGCTCTTTGCACTGTTCTGTCTTCATGCTGCTGCTTGCTACCAGTCAGTGGTATACACAGCAATCTATTCTAGTACTCCAAAGGAGCTGAAAATGGTATGAGGAGTCTTTTTTTTTTCTTTTTTACGTTTTTGTGCAGTGAGGTTTCTTGGAAGCTGTGAAGAACTAATGCTTCTGTACTGTAAAGTCCTGTCAGGGAAGATCACACTCTTTTTGTCTCCTGTCTCACTGGTTTTAGGAGTCTGCAAGTGCTGATACTGGGTCTTAGTTCAAAGTGATGGTGAGCAGGGAATTACAATGTCATGAAACCGTGTTACCCAGAGTTTGGTAGACTTGTTCTGTAACTATTAATTTTGAGCCTTATTAACCCTGTAATTATTAGGAGGATAGAGCAATTCCCACACACAGCTGTGAGATGTTTTATGATAATCAGAGCAGTTTGGTCCAGATCTTGGCAGAAGATGTTCCCTCAGAAATCAGAAGAGCATTTTACCTGGTTAGGGAGATTTCCAAATTGCCCTGCCTGTTTAGTCCACTTCCAGGACTAAATGAATTTGGTGAGCAGAAGCCCTTATTCTTGAAAGAGAATCTGTCCATTAACGAGCAGTTTTTCTCTCAAGGTTTATGTGAATGGAGGTGCGAATGACTCTTTAGTTCCATTGGAGACCACTGGATTTTTCTAACAGTGTAAGACAGCAATTCAAATCAAGGATGTTTGGAAAGGGTTGGGCATTTTGCAACTTGGTTTTTTTTTGCCTGTACCTTGGACTGAAACAACCAAACCTTGCCCGGGGTTTGAAATGCTTTGAATCACATGCCCCTCTCTGAAAAGAATCAGAAATAACAAAATAACCTGTATCAAAATAGCCTGTATCTGAGAGGGAGTCCAACCAGACAAAATCAGGGAGTGCTAGAATAACAGGAAGAGGGTTTTTTTGTTAAGAAAACAGCCATTCTGATCCCTGCTTTAAGCCAGAGAGGAAGGATATACATCTATATATGCACGTTCAACTTCAGTGTTGCAAGATTGTAACATTGCTAGAGCTAATGTGATTTATATTGAAAATGTTTTCTTTCCTTGGGTGAATCAAAGTTGACCAGATGATTAGTGAAATACGTTTGTGCATAAGAATGGAGTTACCTGCAATGATGTAAGTGTAAGTAGGCTCTCCCGCCCATGCCACCCATACGGAGCTGCACTCGGACTTCAAGTCAAGTTTAAGAGTAACTGCCTTAGGTAGAAGCCTGAGGTTTTTCTTGATGCATTAAGTGTGGTCAAGTGATTGAAGTTCAAAACAGTATTTTTCCACTTTTTATTTTTATTTTTTGTTTACCCTTTTGGTTTGTCATTGAAATGGGAAGTGTCTGGAGCTCAGCAAGGGCGACATTTATTCTTGGGAGGATGGGAAAAGGTTAAAAGTAGAAACAGCTGATGAGGCAGGATGGATGGCTCTGTAGAGAAAGCAGGAGGAAGAGAAATGTGAACATCTGTTAAAGCTACACCAGTGACTTTTTTTGGCTAAGTTCAGCTTGCAGTTCCTTTTGAATTAATTCTTCTTCAGTAGATGTCAGTGCTATCAGTGAGAAACATTGCATGGGCCTGTGGAGTATCATTAATTTGGGGAAAAATCAAGACAAAAAGCAGGCAGTTCAAGGTTACTGAGTTGTGGTTTCGTTTTTGTCTTTGGTTGGTTGTTTTTTGTTGTTTTCAGCTGTCTTGGTGTTCAGTACAGAACACACTAAAAACAAAAATGAGATTTTGAAGATCTGATTTGTTATTGAAATTCACCATTCTCTTCCCACTGACATTGTGTTTTACTGGGAAAATCAATAAGGCAGAACTGTCCTAGTGTGTCCCCACTGGCTTACAGTTTCTTTCAACACCTATCATATAAATCACAATCCTGATGGCTTTTGTTCAGATCCCCACTGTCTGAGTGGCACTGGGTGATTCTGAATAAGCCTCTACCATCTTTTCCCTCAAGTTAACTTTCATTACACTCAAATTAATCTCGGTCCAATAAAGATGTCCTTTTATCCCTGCAGTAGAGTTGTCAAAGATGTTTAATAACAGAGCAACAACTGGGGGAGCATTATTTTGTAAAGAAATCTGACGATGTCTCTCATTTACTGTTAATTTCCTTGCCTTGTGCATCTCCTACTTCCCAGCTGGGATAGGCAGAGAACACTCCAAGAATTGTTTGGTTTTCAGCTCATCTGAACAGGCGATTAATAAAAGCAGCCTTACTTTCTCAGGAGTGCTGGCTTGCTACCTCAGTCAATGAACTGAGCATACTGCTGGCCATTCCTGAGAAAATGTTTTATCTTCCTCTACAAGTTCTTGTCCAAACCAACTGGAATAGATTTTGAGTGAATGAATTCATCTGATGATGCAATAAATGGTTTGCTGAAGTCCAAATAGGCATCTGAATGACCTTCACCCTGCATTCTGTAATTAAATCCAAAAGTAGTGATGTTCGGGAAGAGGATTTTTTTGTCTATGTATAAGTTTTTGGCTTTGCAGTTAGTAACTGTGTGGACCGAGTGGAAAGCACTGAGTGAATTATAGACTTGACTTAATCTTTTACCTCCTGGGAAAAATTAATAATTTAATGCTGGATACTGGAATACTTGATAGGAAATATCTACAGAACCACTAGATAAGAAAAGATTCAGACCCTTAAAGGAACCAGGCTACAGGATGACTTCTGATACTGTGACATTGAAATGATCATGGGCTGTGAAGCAAAGCAGATGAATTCTGCCATTGCTTCTATGATATTATATCTTTTAGATAAATAAAAATAAGCAAGGTTAAGTGAGGGCAATATTTGCCAACATTTATTTTAAACTTGCCATCCAACGTTCCTTTTAGCAGAAGGATTATTGGAACTATTGTGGAGAAAATTATTTCTAACTTCTTTGTATGCAAGTAGAAAAACAAATAATAAATTAAGGATGCTGTGTTCTACTTGATTCCTCTCTTTCCTTGTTCTGTTCACATCATGTATGGCTTTTAACCCTGTGCAGATGTGTTTTGGCATACGTTGGAGAGACAGAGAGAGGATTATTCTATTACTTTATATACAAGCAGATCATTCTGATTTCCTTAGAAGGCCAGTACTATTTTTCTTTCTTTCCCCACTAGGTAATTAGGCACAACTAAAATTGACTTAAGGGATTGTAACAAATTTGAATGTATGCACCCCTGCCCTCTGTTGTCATGCAGAATTGAAATCATATTGTCTCTTTACTAATTACGATGTCTTCATTTATGTTTTGTATTTGGTCAATCCTTAGTCATTGCACATGGATATTTAGATTTTTATTAACAATGTCTTCAGTAATAAACACTACAAAGTTGCCATTCTGTATGTGTCAGACGGTGATTTTTGCAATAATCAATTCACTGCAGTTCTCATCAAATACGGATTTTCTGAAGAACTATTATATTATAGAGTTCATTGTGAATATATTTCATGTACATCAGTTGGTCTGTCTTTTAGTGTTTTAAGAACCTTCCAAACAGCATATTTGAATTTCAGCGTCTTGCTGAATTACCTGAGCAATTTCCAGCAATCAGTGTTAGAGGATTGCATGCCAGTGGTAAAAATAGAGAAAGATTACTCTGGGTTAAACAGGTAAAACAGTAATTGATTTTACAACAGGCTTCTTGTATTGTCATCAAGTTTTACAATAAACAACAGTGATCTCATATTGTGTAGAGTGTATAGCCTACAAAATGCTGTTCGTGCTATTACTCAGAATTCTATCCTTCTATGACTTAATTCTATTGCAAAACAGGTGATCAAGGTGATTAAGAAATCATTTTGTATATTTTTTGCCTTAGTTGCATTGTACACTTTAAGGATCAAATTCTAGAATAGTCTGTACTGTCAGATAATTACAGTTTTTTTGAATCATTCTGTTATCTATATATTTTACAGCTACTGTATATACAGAAACTATTTTATAGCTTGCAACTATCTCTTACGTTGCCTTTTTTATCCTTACAAGGTTGTGACTTTCAGTTAAAGCAGCTACTTATTAGATCTGTTCTTCAAGAAATAGCAAAATTAAAAATCAGCTGGTATGAAGAGAATAGGAAATAATTGTGTGTGTGTAGAAATCTAAGTCTACTTTAGAGTACACTGAACTGCAGCATGGTCTACTGGCCAAAGCAGAGATGTCAAGGAGCCAACTCAGATCTTGAACTTTGAAAGTTGTTAATTGCCACATATTTGTCAGAGTGGGCACCAGTTTCCCAACTGGGGCAAATCCTCCAGAGAAGTGGTGTTAGCTGAAGCAGTGAGAGGCCCTTCCTGCCTTTCCTGTGAGAGATGGAGGTGTTGGTGCAGCAAAAACCTGGCTGCTGGAATTTGCTACTGGCATTTTCTTCTCGTCATATTATACATCTCCATGTATATCACATGGCACCATGTGAGACTAAAAATTTAGTGGACTTCCATTGATTTGTTCTATTGCAGAAAGAAAATATCAAGTCTTTTATCAGTTTTGGCTTTTGTGGTTTACCATTTTTTTCCTGTTTTTTTACATTGCAGTTTGACTTCATTTGATTGCAACATAAAATACACTGCACCAGATACAAAAATGACAAAAAACTGGATCACATTTTTGCTGTTCTTCTTCTTGGTTACTATGGTGAGTTTTATCTTTTTTTATATTTTCTTTAATGAATTCCAGTTTGTGTGTAATCCAAGTATATACAGAACACCAGAGAAATTGCTATTTTCTAAAAGCTAATAAGTTCAAATATAGTTTCCACAAAGCAGAATCTTTACTGCCTTATATCCTCCATTTATTTCCTATGCTAACAAACTAATTACCTCTGTTAAAGCCAGCATATCTTTTGCTAGCAGAGAAGTTTATGGTAATTGTTGATATGCCTATATTAGCCAGAAAACTACAAAATCAGATCGTCAGTAGTAAGATTTAAGATCACTTTCCTTCAGTAAAATAATATTTGAAATATAATATTTAAAGTGAATGAAGTTAAAGAAACTTTTATCAGTTTTTATGTGAGTAGTAGATCCAAATTCATTAAAAATACATTTAAAAGTGACTTGCTAAAAATAAGTCTTATTCTTCCTAGTTTTTTGCTACTGCCATACCAGCTGAGGGGCATCAGAATATAACAGAGGACTACGCTCAACTGAGTGTTACACGGAATAAAATTATGACAGCACAGTATGAATGCTACCAGAAAATTATGCAAGATCCCATTCATAGGAAAGAAGGTAGAGTTTATTTTCTCATAAGATTTTCCAGAGGGAGGTGGTCAATAGATATAACTGAAGTAATCCAGGATCCTTTTATTATATTAATCATTGCTTATATTGATAACAATTTTTTCAGGTTCTGTTCATACCATATTTTAGAAACATCATTTTGGAACTCAGAGTAATACTGTGTATTATAGTTAATGTAATGCCCATTGAATTACATCCACTATATTGTAAATAACACAAAGCTTTTATTTCTGATGACATTAGAAAATGGTAATTTAAACAGATATCCAGAGTAAAAAATGGAAATTATTTCCAACTTCATAACTTCTGAAAGCATTGAATGGTTTAGGGGGAAAAAAGAGATAATTACATGGAGTATTTTTGTCTTCTGAAATGTTTCTTTGGAGAAAAGCAATGTCTGGAGGTCAGAAATGGATATGAGTATGACAGTGTAAGTTTATGTCCAGCCCAGGGAACCACGAGTTTAAAAGGATCTGGACAAATGGGAAAATCTCTAGATACAAAGAGGAACTATGTGATGTTTGAAATACGCATCCTTTGAGATAGTTTAGGGAGCAGGGAGAAGATGTTATTACGTGTTGAATAGGAAACTGAAGGAAGATACAAAAATATTTTCAAATCTGTAGGTCAGTCATTCTGCATGCCTACATATAGATATTAAAAATCTGTGTTAGTTCAGTGAGGCATTGAAACAGGCTCCGGAACAATGACTCTGACATCCCAGTCCTGGAGCAGTTAGAGAAGTATCTGCAGGCTCAGCTCTACCTGAGGACAAGGAACTCTGGCTGCCTCCCATGTGGGCTTTCTGATGGCTTCTAGGATACCAGTGTGTTTTCAATGAGCTAGTAAACACATATTAGAGAGGCTTGGTGTACATCCAAAGTGTAAATACATTCATTAAAATGGTCTTTGCAAATTTAAGGCTCTTTGTTCATGTGCATTATTCAGTCTGAGTTGATGTATTTTGCTTTTCCCAAAGAATGTTACCCTACCATGCTCTAAATCTGATGAGGTTTGTAAACTGTAGATGCAGACTGTTTAAAGGTAAATGATGATGTATTCTAAAACATGTTCAAAGAAAGATACGTATTCTAAAACATATCTTTTCAAAGAAAGATATGTATTCTAAAACATGTTCAAAGAAAGAAGCTGTTTCTATTACATGAAGTTATAATTAACTTCGCTAAATGTTATATTTGCTTTTTTTCTTTACGAAGAAAACTCATTGCTGCAAGTGAGAAACTTAACATACGCAGTGCTATATCTTACTTTTGAAAGACTCATCTTTCAAAAGATACCTTACTTGTGAAAGGAGGTTTGTTAGTTTATTATCAGGTGTCTACTTGTTCGTAGGTCCTTACTGTAACAGGACATGGGATGGCTGGTTGTGCTGGAGTGATGTTGCTGCAGGTACTGTGTCAGTACAGCGTTGTCCTGACTACTTTCAGGATTTCAATCCATCAGGTAAGCATGCACGGGCTTCTGCATCAACATGTTGCTTAATAAAAAGCCTACTCTTTGCTCCACTCAAGTCACAAATGTACTAGAATTTAACTAACTCCAAATCCATTATTTTAACTTTCCCTTTATCACATACAATATTGGCAAGTTAGTGGTTTTGTTGTTATTGGTTTTGTTTTGTTTTGTTTTGAAATGTGCCTTAGTAGGATTCTGTAGATGAGGAAATACAAATAGAATTTAGATGACAGTTCTTTCTTCATAGAGATGAGATTTTCCCTCTGAGAAATAAGCAGAAACATTATTTATTTTACCTCAGTTTAGCTGTTGAAGTCAATAAGAGTTTCTCCAAATGAATCTTTTCCCATTTCTGTAAGCTTAACTTTGCATTTGTGAGCATGTGGAAAATGTCATAGATGTCAACTCTTGTCTGCTTCTACTGCATTTAGTATTTCCCAAGGTCTTTTGATGCCTTTCTTCATCTGATTAGGTAGAAATCATCATATGGTCCCGGAAACTTTCCAGTCTGGTTCTTGAGCAGTTTCTCTATTAATATTTTCCTGCCTGTCCGATCCTAATTTACAGTGGTAGGATGTCAGACATCAGTTTATGTCTTGGATATTAAAGAAGCCATTCCTGTCACTTCATCTGGTAGTTCTGCAACAGTTTCATATATTTTGATACTTAACTGGATTGGAAGAGGAAAATCTATTTATTTTCTTAAGAAGAACAGATCATCAGTTGCCCTTGCCAAGCAAAAGCAATGGCCTCTAGTTTCTCAGAATTCATAGTAACAAGCAGTGTCTCTCTAGTCATATTAATAAAGCTGTCATTTGTTTGCCAATCTTTTTTTCGTGAAATACTAGGCATCAGGAAGTAGAGCTTCAGTGCTGACTGTTGTGTTTTCGTCTTGTTTTTCTTTTTTTGTTTTTCTTTCCAACTGCTTTGGCTGTAGAAAAAGTGACGAAGATCTGTGATCCAAGTGGGAACTGGTTTAGACACCCAGAAAGCAACAGGACATGGACAAACTACACCCAGTGTAATATCTATACGCATGAAAAAGTGAAGGTAGGAAATGAACAAATGCGTGTCACCAATTAAGAAATTGGTCTGAACAATTTAACATCTAAAAAATTAGACATCAGAGTTAATGTAACATCAAAATGCAAAAAGATAAAACATGCTGAATAAGGAGGATGTATTGTTCAAAGCAGACTCAAAAAAAAAAAGTCTTTCACAGCTGATTTTAACTACATGATTAATATGTTATCATTTTTGTTTGTGGGTATTTTAAATGTGAACTAGTACTAGTACTTGTCTATGCCATCCACATTCACCTACTGGTAAGCAAAATGTACTCCTTAAAAGCACATCCGTTACATTTTGCTCTGTAATTTTGAAGTAGGGTGCAAGCTCAGCAGAACTGCAGGACATTTGCACTTCTCTGGAAGACCCTGCTACCCTGCTAAGTGCATGGGTTTATCCAATTAACTCATAGTGACAGATTTTCAGCAGGTCCACAGTTTTATTTGGACTTAGTACATCTTCCAGGCAGCATTAAGAACTGGGATTTTTTATTTTTATTTTTTAATTTTGTTTTGTTTTCCAATGTAATATGAAAAGCAGAGCTAATATTTTCTGCTTTACAAAAGTGTAGGCAAGCTTTAGTTGAGTGGATTGAGTGGCCAAAGGTTAGTAAGTGATAAGAAGTGTTAGCTAGGGTTTGTTTTCCCCTGTGGCCCTTTCCCCTGTGAATGTCTTGTGTCCTGGCTCACAAGAGCAATTTCTTTTTTTCAGTTTTTGAATTACTAAGCTGCCCACACAAATGGAAAAAACATGCTTTGTGAGTTGTTTGTGTTTTTTTTTTCCTATGTATCAAAGGTAGACTGTGTGCACTCTAATTTGTGTGGGTATCTATATAGATGGCACTTCCATAGACTTTCGCTTGGATGTCCATCCATTGGCAGATTTAGGGAAAAAAATGTCGTAAAGCTCCAACTGCTGAGACAGTCTGTGATATGTGAGGGTATAGTAGATACAATTACATATTCCTATCCCCCACCCCCGCAAAAAGCCTCTGTCCACCAGTAGTATTCATAATGTTTATAAAACACATTCAGGCATGGGAAGAATCAGTAAAATGACACCATAAATGCCCCAAAAATAGAAATATAACATGTAAGGATAGATTGTGAGTGAATTTAGGCCTCATGGGAAAAAAGCACATTAACAGTAGATAGACTAGATGGCAGTATTCTTGATACTAATAGGGATCCTAACTGCTTGCATCATTGCTGTCAGAATGTTTAAGGTTATTTACCAAGAAACCACATTGAGAAAAGGTGATAATAAAGCACTTCTGCATTGCTTTTTCTCAAATCAATTGAGTATGTCCATGGCAGTTTAATTCTACTAGTAGAGATTTATCAACTCATTGTTTCTTGGTAATATTTGACTAGAAACTGAGAGAATGTTATTCAGAGAGGATTAGATCAATCCAGGTCTTCCTGTATGAATAATGTGAGGAGCTTCTTTGTGGCCTTCTTTCAGGGCAGGTTAGATAATGCACAATAAACATGGCTCTTGTCCATTGCTCAATTCTTATTGTCATGGTAGTCCCTAGCATACCACTACAGTCCCTCTGTAGTCCCTAGCGTACCACTGTTTAGGGCCAGTTCTAAATTGTGCAGAAATGTTCAAAATCTTAAACATGCTACTTTGTCTTAAATTGGTCACTGAATGAGGTTGTCATGTGGGATATCATATGGACCTTCCATAGAAATACATACATAGACAGTCTTTACCGTTCCAGGGTAGCACTTATTTTCTCAATTCCAGATTTCTTATGAAAATTTCACTTAAACTACTGCATTACTTTAACTCCCTTTTTATATATTTAAAAAAAATATAATAACTTAAAACATTCTAGCTGTTCTTCAATTCTTACTATTCTACAAATAGGTACCCTTGTCTCATCTAATAACGTTTCTTAAAGCTTTACTTTGTATCTCTTTATGTGATTTGAAAAGTCCATATGTATGTAGCAGGCTGCAACCATTCAGAGCTTAAATTGGAGACACAGACTATGGAGTATATGAGCCCAAGGATTCTTCCTAATAGATTGTAGATATAATTATACTTGATTGTGATAGGAAAAGGTTAAACCCAAAGATCTTCATTTTCTTGTGTGCAAAATGATTATATTGTATTTAATGCCAACTAAGTGATTTTGAGAAACAGATTCCATAACTGAAAATAGTTTTGTTATTAGGGAAAGAATTGATGTTAACATGCATATATGCCAAATATTTACTTTACCAGTTCTTGGTTTTTATTTTTGCTATGTACCTAGCTTTTCATAATACTGGAATTTGATGGTAGATTTATTGAATAATAGCATTTAGTCTTTACTATTTTTGAGTTGTAAATGTTTTTCATTCTTGAAATGAAAGGTAATGTTCCGATATCACAATCACAGCTTTCTTGGAAGGAAGTATTTTTTCAAATGATGGGAGAAAAATTTATGAGCAATAAAGAAATAAATTAATATGTAAAGCACACTAACATGTTTTGCTTAAGAGATGCATAAATAGATAAGTTAAGCCTCAGACAGGAGAGCACCCAGCACAGTAACATAAATAACCAGATTTATATAAATACTCAGAAGAAGCATAGTTAGTACATAGTTTTAAAAAAACCTAACGTTTGAACTGCTAAGTCATAGCAACTTTATTCAATCTGTTACGTGCCCTACAGAAAGATTTTAGTAAGATGTTGATTTGTAGGATTCCGGATTTGATTCATCATTATCAGTAATGTTTTTATTATCTTCATCCTGTTATAATAATTTTGTAAGTAGAAGATATGTGCTTGTGCTTATTAATAATAGTTGTATCCGCATCACAAGTATTTGATTTTGTTCTTGTATTGCAGACGGCTCTGAACTTGTATTATTTGGCCATTATAGGACATGGTCTCTCAATTGCATCACTTCTGATTTCTCTTGGCATATTCTTTTATTTTAAGTAAGTATAAGTAAAATTCTTTGTAAAATTTGTAAACTTTGTAAAATAAGTAAAATTAGTCATTGCATCATAGTTTCAATACTTTTAGAACACTAGATATCCCAGAAAATTAGACAGAACAAGAAGGTGAAAAAAAACAGTATATTGGATTGGCATTGAACATGATATAATAAAAATTTAGGTTTCTTTTCTCAGATACCTAAAATCCCAAGTCTTCAAATTAAAAAGTGTAGCATATGTTGAAAATGAGAAATAGGAAAATGGCACTGGAAAACGTAACAATTATTAAACAAGTGTTTGCAGGGGAAGGAGGGCTGTTTGCTTGCTTGCTTGTTTGTTTTTAATAATAACTGAAGATGTGGATATGTCAAGCATGGACCAAAGTAAACAGCAAATGGAAAGCAAAATACTGGCGATATATGATGGATAAAGTACTATTCCAAAGTAGGTAGCCACAAAATATGATAAATTGTAAAGAAAACAAAGCTAAGAGCAACATTAGGAATGGGAACAATATAAATAATCCCCCTTTGTATTATTCACCACGTTACAACTGTGATGGTATGCCTTATCCACTGACTACAAGTTAATGCTCTATCTTCTGGCAAGAAAGTTTGAGCCGTGTATTACCATGTCATGACGAAGTGCAGCATACTGCAGGGATCTTTTAAAATTACGTCTGCTTAGTACTTCACATTTTGCGAACTCTTTCCTGTGAAACTTTTTTTTCTTAGAAGTTGATGAGGCTTAGTAGAAAGCTGAAACCAGGATCACTGAAACCCGTGTTGCCACACGAGCAGAGCTGAGGCAAAGTGCAGTGCTGTCAGAGATGAGTTGTTAGCTCTGCCAAATGCTGCACTGCACAGTGCAGGCTTTCCTTGTTAACTCACAGTAGTTCAATCTGCATCGATTTTCATTGGAAAAGAAAGATCTGCACTACAGACTTGCGTGTTTCTTACCGCTACCATCTCACCCCACCCATAATTGTTCCTGATATGTAAACATGAGTAGCACGTATACCAGTAATGGTGGGGCTGGGTCAGATTTTGCTTTTCTCATGCTCTGGACTTTGATTTGATTTGATAGGGGTCGCAAATGTCTGCTAAACATCATTGTTGTTAGTCACACCTGGCTGGCTATCACATTTCCAATTTAGATATGCATTATTTGCCTAAATTTGCAATAAATTCCTAACAGTGTTTCAACTTAGTAACTTCTCTTTGAAATACAGTATTCAAGATTACTTCTCAGCTTTTTCTGACTTGTTCCCAACTATTTCCAAGTTCACTTTCCCTCCACAAAATCAAAACATGAAATGACCCCAAGTCTTTATAAGGTTGATTTTCCATTGAAAAAAAATAAAATAAAATAAAAATGTGCAATGCTATTACTGTAAACCTCACAAGAAAAAGTTCAAGATAAAAATAAAAACTAAAAAAATCTCCCATGGTAGAAAAAATGCTTTGACATAGACTTCTAAGGAGAAAATAAAAAGATATTGAATATGATTTTAAGAGCTCAGAGACAGTGAAGAACAATTTTTCTGTACTCTGATATGAAAACCAAGCCAATTTCATCTCCACTTGTGGCACTTACTGCAAAAGAAGGTAGTTTGCTTTGCTACCATTAGAATGATGCTATGTTTGTCATATCCTCCAGGGATTTTTTTCTCCCTCTGGTAGAAGGATCCTCTATCCTCAAAGAACCACATGGAATTAATCCAGATCCACAAACCACAATTCTAGACTGTGGTTATGTTCAGATATAAAAAGAAATTGAAAAATTTAAAGGAAGCTAAAGAAAGTTCTCTACAAGCTGTTCTCTTGGGATATGCAGTTCTTCTAAAGTATTTTTAGTACCAGAAGGATATTTAAGGATCTAGATTAATACCAGGATGTATTATGTATCAGCTGAATGCTGTGTAATTATTCGTAGCTTTAACAGGTGGACTTCTTTTTCTCCTTTATTTCTCTTTTGCTATTGTGTGTGGGTGCTTATGAACTTGCCATGTTTCCAGATAATTTATCCTGTTAGCAGATCGATAATTTCCAGATGACATTTGCTGACTTGCTGACCATCAGAATATCTGTAGGGTTGATCAGAAAGATTGGATATTTCTCCATAGGAAAACTGACTTTTTTTTCTTTTATTTTTTTTCCAAATATCCTCAGTTTTTTAAGTATAAACTATTTAGATTTTGACTTTATTTTTTTTCAGATTTTAGTGCATTTTATTTTTCAGTTGAAATTCTTTTTCTTCAGAAAACTACCTCATTAGAAATACTTTGCCAGTCTGTGACTTGTGTTCTCCAAGTGGGTTGGAGTTCTTGTTTTAAAAACAAGCTATAAGCTTGGAACTCTGATCTTCCTATCTGATAATTCATCAGATAAAAGTAACTTTTTGCAGTGGCTCTGCATTCCTATTCTGTTATGTACTGTAAATCACACATGTCTTATAGGAAGTTTTTCTTAAAATAATTCTAAGGTTGTTTTCATAAAGAAAAGTAGGCAACAGAAAACAGAATAGAACAGTGCATTCAGAGAAAGGGAAGCTATAATTTCAAAGATACACACACAAACAGAAAACAACAAAAAATGAAATAAAGGAGAAACTGTTAATCAAGCATCATGTCAACTCACAGGACAGCACTCACAGGGGTTAGCAACAGTAAACATAGACTGGGCAAACAGCCGAATGATAGATTGGTAGATACAGGGTTCCTAAGTAACTTGAAGTTAATTTCAGCTGAAAGGCTAATTCTTCTCATGTGAATATATGGATCTCACTGGTTGAATCTTGCTGCATTTTAGTATCTTTACATCTATTTTAGTATCTTTAGTATCTATTTAGTATCTACTCCAAACACATCTGGGTGTTTTTGAAAACCTTTTTTTCTTTTCTGGAAGTACTGGAGAAATGATTTTTTCCATAGTGCCCAAGACATACAGGAGTCAAATGAAAAGAGGAAATATATAATTTAGCAGGAAGTCTATTTTTATTTTTCTGCACAGTGTTTAATCCAGTGTTAAGTCTTTTGAATGGTCTTAGATCATAATTATGAGAATGGAATGATTAAAGAGCATTATGTCACTAAGAAAAGCAGAAGGTCTATAGGAAGGGTAACAGAAAAGGGAGGGTGGGGAGACTTAGGAAGAAATTCTTTTATTACCAAAAGCAGTCTTCGTTTTTAAATGTCAGCAGTCTTGCTTTCTTGTTTCTTGTCCGGTGATCCTTTCAATCCTTTTATGCATGGGTGGAGGTGGGTGTGGATGGGTGTGTTTGAATATTCAACAGGAACAGCTGCTGGATGACCCTGAGAGATGGCCCCATTAGCTGTACGTGCTTTTCCTTGCCTCTGTGTTGAATCTTAACAATAAGCAGACAGACTTCCAGGGTTCTTCAGGACTTGTTTACACAGAGCTGTTAGCTGGAATCTTGTGTTGCTTACTTTCTTTCTATATGAGCCATATAGGAAAAAGATATGGATGCATACTCAAAGAATATAAACACTATGCATATGTTAATAATCAATGCTTTGTGTTTTGGGCATTAAAAGGATAAAAAAAAAAAAAAAAAAAAGCCTCGTGAGATACCCTTTATCACTTAACTTATATCCATAGCTGTGTTCTGTATTTTGGACACTTTTTCGTGTTTTCCTCAGTCAAGTAAAGCTTGGCAACCAGGAGTTTATGTAGGGTTGACCTGTGTTCTGTGTGGCACCACTGGTTCCTGGAGTGGTTTCCTTTCCCTGAATTCAGTGTATTTAGCCTCAGGGCTCCATGGTGTGGTTTGCAGAACCTCTTCTGCCTGATTCCTGGTATTACGCTGTGCATATCTGAACCTATTTGCTTACTCCATGTATCTCTGGGATGCTTCATGCACGCTTCTTGTGATAGTTGCAAAGAATGCAACCAAGGAGTGTAATCTCTATAGACTGTCTTTTTTTGACCATCTCTTTTGTTAGTGGGGTCATTTGTTTTCATGTTTCATCCATTGTGTTCTCAACAGATTTCAACATGCTCCTCTAGCTTTTGTGACTATTCCATTTCTGTATTTCTCTCTCAAAATATAAAGTTCTTCTCCTTCCTGTCCTGCTGGCCCCCAAAATTTAAGATAAATCACTAATGTCTATACTTTGTCTTTATTTCAGGCATGTTGTTTGAAAAAGATAGAAAACTTAGAACTTGATTTCCACTCCCCCCCGCCCCGTGTAACAATTCAGACTTGTCCCTTGCTGACCCTGTCCATGTATTTCTGATATTTCTACAAGTGAAAAGCAGTTGCATTTGAAAGTGATAGACTTTACCCCCCGGCTGAGCTGTTCCATTTTGCAAATTAGTTGTACATCATATTGCTGCTTAAAACATGGAGGGAGGGAGATGCAGTTATACAGCACAGGCTTGGGTAACTGGGTTCTTTCTTGGAAATAACCAATAGATGTCTCCACTGTTCCCCAGCCTTTAATCATCTCTCTCTGCCAGTTGGGTAGGTTTCTCCAAGGAACGTGAATGCTGCAAGATGGGCTTTGTACCCATCTGCTGCCTCTGGCATGCTGTATGGTTATAAGTCAGTTTACTCTTATGTGCTGTGCACCCCCTATTCTAAACCTAAAATGGTAATTTTTGCCCATTTTTTTTAAAAAAAACGATCATCTGCTTCTATAGCAAAATGGATGTTATTTGGAATTTATTTGGATGTTATTTCAGGAATTGTGTGCTTTAATATCCTAACGATCTGAATTGTTTTTATTTCTATGTAGGCTTTCTATCTTTTGTGTCTGTAAAATTGCTGTTTTTGTGTTTGTTTTTTTTTGTTGTTTTTTTTGTTGTTGTTGTTGTTTTGTTTTTTTGTTTTTTGTTTTTTTTTTTAAACTTGCATGAACAGCACTCTGTCTCTTGCGGTAGCAGTAAGCTAGACCTGATAGAATGGCACATAAGCAGAAATTTGCTATGACCTATGGTCATTGTTAGCTATAGTTTAATATTATTGAATGTTTGGGTTTGTTTTTTTTAAAAAAAAAAACATTTGAAAGTATATTTTTACATTTAATTTTATTGCAATGTTCAAATTAAATGTTGAAAATGAACACAAATGCATTTATATATGGCATTTTTAACTGTTAATATTCTGTTTATAACTTGGTTATATACAAGTTCAGATAAGTTATTCACTATTTACTTACTGGGTATTTCTGTAGCTATAGGATTAGGGGAGATAAGTGACTGAGAATGTGAGTAGAATAGAACTGTCCTCCAAAAACCTTGACAGCTCGGATAAATGAAAACATAGGGTAGAACAGCTTCCTCAGGCTCAGGTATGATGGTTAATTGGGAAATAATCAGGTACTAACAAAAACAAATGTATAAATCATACAAAATGTGTTATACATTACCCATATCAAAATCCTTTTTAGATAACCACTACAAAGCAGGTCTTTAGTTGTGAATGTATTGGAACTGAATGTACTGACTTCCCTGCTGTGGTCAAATAAGTGGAGATTAAGGGGAGGTGTTACCTTTCACATTATTCTATTAAATTCGGACTGGAGTTGAAGAAAGGGTTGATGTAAGACTGCATAATAAATAAAGAGCTCTAGTATTTCAAAATTTCAGAGTTGTCCCCAATTACGCATAGCTGTCCCCTCGTGTATTCATTTGTTCTTGTTTCTCTTTTCTAGGAGCTTGAGTTGCCAAAGGATTACCCTGCATAAAAATCTATTTTTCTCTTTTGTTTGCAACTCTGTTGTAACAATAATTTCACTGACTGCAATTGCCAACAATCAGGAGTTAGTTGCAACTAATCCAGTAAGTGAAAGTATATTTGGCAGCCTTGTTGATTTGTATGTGAAAAACTTCAGCAATGCAGAAGGGACAAATGAGGCATGAATAGTTGATGAAATGATGTATATAGCAAGGTTAAAATGTTCAGTAACGGTGTAATAATGTTACGTATTACAACAGATGGCTAACAGTGATTTGGGCATTTCACATTTGAGGTTTCGAAATAATAAAACAGCTTCAGAGACAGAGCATACTGAACTGCTCTTCTGAATTTGTACAGATCATGTCTGCGCTGAAACAACGACAAGGAAGCAGCCTATTCTAGATGATGTCAGAGAGGTTATGACAGTAGAATTCACCAAGAAAGGGCAGTTTTTTTTTAAAAAAAAAAGGCTCTAGAATGTATTTTGGCACTGTCAGCTTTTATGTGGCTTTTGCTTTGCCATCTTGAGTTGTAATGAGAATTAATTTTTCTGTGAAGGGAGATCAAACTGACACTAAAAAAGACTAAAAAAATCCAACCCTTAGGGTCTGATTTGTCTCTCTCTCATTTCCTGATAATACTGGGTTAAGCGTGAATCAGTAGCCTGTCCCAAAAGGCTAGGAGTTATAGCAACGGAAGAGCCTGAAAATCAAATACATAAACAAACAAATCCCTAACTATGGCTTTATTTTTATTTGGACCTGGAAGATAAATTTAAATTCTGTGAAAGTTAGGGCAAAAATCCAGAAGCTGTTGGAATCAAGTAAAAATATCAATTCTCTTTAACCTTTCAAAAGCTCATAAAAATTCTGGATAATATGCCTGAGATAGCTGCTAATAATCATCAGTAAGTGAATTAGGTAGTAGAACGTGGTAAAGCAATATTTTATTTGGTTTAAGCTAAGTGCCATAACGAGATCAATCACTCAAACGGAGCAATGTCAGAAGAAAAAAAAGGTGTGCTGTGTCTAAAAGAGCAAGTTATAACTTCTTTTTAACAACCTCACATTTTATTCTTCAAAATAAGCTACAACCATTTCAATTGAAGACTATATGAGGATATTTTGAATACAGATATATGCCAACAAGAAAGCTTGTTATTAGAACCTACTGTATGAGTTGTCCCCTGGCCCTAAGTTCAGTTATGACTAGGTTGAAATTGGGATCTCTTTAAGTGTTTTCAACATGTAAATCATTTGCTATGGCATGACTGGTATAACCAAAGGGGAATTAGCTTCATCAAAGTACATTTTCTGATGTAGTTACCATTCAATAATTTAAAGACCCCCTTTTGATTGGAATAGTCAATTGTGTCAATATTTACATTAAAGGGAAATATCATTACTGCTCTCTGCCATTATGCTGGAGAAACTCAAAGTTCTCATGTTGGCTTTAATAAGAATACAGACACAGTTACCAACTCAGTCACCATGAAGTATGGAAATTTAATTCCATAAAAATTAAAAAAAAAAAAAAAAGTAAGCATACTGAAAAAAAGAACTAAATATGAATATTTGACTCAAGCAGTATTTTTTCCATTTTGCAAATAAATCTCTCTGAGATTCCTGCAATTTATGAATTATGTTGTACTCTGCTTTTTCTGCAGATTAGCTGCAAAGTGTCACAGTTCATCTACCTGTACCTAATGGGGTGCAACTACTTCTGGATGCTGTGTGAAGGCGTTTACCTGCATACTCTTATTGTGGTGGCTGTTTTTGCTGAGAAACAGCACTTGATGTGGTATTACCTTCTTGGCTGGGGTATGCAATTTCACATTCTGTATTGTCAGGCCAATGTTATCTTTTACTCCTTTCATGAGAATTTGAACAGCTGTCCTGTTGCTTCTCTGCACTGGCAGCTTTGAATAATGATGACACACCCCTCTTCTTTGTCTGTGGTGTTTTAACAGGCTTAGAAATATTAACGTAGGAAGTTGTATGTACCTCTATCTTTGCTGAAAGAGAGATTGTGCATTACTGGAGTCAGGAAGCGACTCCTCCTTTGTGTAGAGAAAATAGTCTCCTATTATAAAAAAGACATTAAGAAGTAATTATTCATTGTTCCTCATCTTGAAGATGTTTATTCAGGAACGAATGTTTGTTTTCAGAGAACTCTGACCACGTCTAGGGTGGAGGGTCAAAACTGAGTTAGAGATCACCAAGGATTTATTTTTCCAGCAGTTCCATTTGACCTGTATTGTTCACTAAGCAAATACAGAATAGCAGTAGCTAAAGATCTCAAGTAATGTCAGTATTAAAACTAACAAGCCAGATGTGGTGATTTCAGGTAATGCACAACAGCATATTCACAAATTGCAAGTGAGAATTGCACTTCATTGTATTGGCACATTTATACGTAACATGACATGGTACCACTATTGTCAGCTGTCCCACAACAGACAAAGCTGGTTTTATATAAAAATATACTGATATTTTTAGTATTACTTAGTATTTAGCATTACTGTGGACTGCAGTCTGAAAAAAAAATGTGTTAATAAGAATTGCTTGTTACATTCTGAATAGTTATAATTTGATTTGCCTTTTCTATCTGTACAATGGTATGGATTTCCCGATAAAACAGTGGGAATAAGGTTTTATACACTCCTCTGAAAGAAATCTGGGAAAGCAGAGACTGAATTGATGTTACTTTATTTACTCTGCGATTGTATATAATTTGGATGAGATGAAAATATAGAAGATTGCTGCAAGAGATGCATGTTTGCTTAGCTAGTTACTTAGTATGTAGGTTTATATATGAAGAAAATACTGTTTTCTCTTCACAGGTTTTCCACTGATCCCTGCCTGCATACATGCTGTTGCTAGAACTTTGTATTATAATGACAAGTAAGTAGTATCTCAAACAGCTTTGCAAAGCAGTTATAGTTTCTTTAAGGAAAAGAAAAAGGAATAGAACAAGTAACAAAATGCCAAATGTTTTTACTTTCCCTGTTTGTTTTCTCTAGCTGTTGGATCAGCTCTGATACTCATCTGCTGTACATCATCCATGGCCCTATTTGTGCTGCTCTATTGGTAGGCATTTTTCAGATAATTTGTTTTTCTTGCTTTATTTTTTTTTTTTTAATTGTTCTTGGTGGTCTTATAAATTGGTAATAGCCTAAAGTTAACAATGACTCATTCTCAGGACTCTCAGCGCAGCAGGTATCTTGGACACAAAAGATACAGAAATCTTGACCTTATTAAGGAGCTATTACACAGATCTTTGACACTGAAGACAGAAAATTCTAAACAAGTAACTGAAGACTCCACTTGTATATAAGTAAACATTGTACTTCAGTCACTATAGGACTGAATGTAACTAAGTAAACATTGTACTTCAGTCACTATAGGACTGAATGTAACCTATGAAATTCAGTCAATAGTTTATTTCTACATAGGTGCATTATAAGAGAAAACACTAATATGGACATACTTATCTTAACAGAAACTTCAAGCAGATCTGGTATTATATTCATGTCTACTGGCTCTCTTTATGCTTTTCAGTTTATTTAAGAAAATTAAGAAAAGTAAGAAAGAAAAGATTAAGGAAACAATTTTGGAAACAATTTGGTTTCCAGTCTGTGTGAACTTCCTTTTCTGTTAAACTGTTAATAAATACTTGCAGAGGGCATTCTGCACGTACAGAATTCTTTCTGAAGACCATTTTATAAATCCTGCGGTTCTTTTGACTTGCAGTTTCATTTACAGTGAAATTAGCTGGTGAACATATATTTTAAAGATGGTGTTGATACTATGACAGACATGAGGTCCTCTGCATGAGAAGCCAGAAGCAGGCTGAGATCCTTGGTGTGTTACTAACTACTGATAATCCCTTGTCCTGTTAGTCAGGTCAGCCATATATGTTATTATAAAGACAGGTTAACTAGTATAAACTTGAAACCAATTATAAATCCTTTCTCTTTTTCTTCTCTCTAATTTGCACAAAAGATGAAATCTTGTTTGCACAGAAAGTGAAAGGACTTTTTGCTCACTTCAGTAGCACCATGTTTTACCCAGCAAATATATGCTGTTCTCCACTGCCTTGTGGGACATTACTTCCTTTGTCCAAGTGTCTCCACAGATATATCACTTCAGTAAAGCTCTTTAAAGCTGAGATATAATTTATATTAGTCAGAGCTTGCTTAAACAGTAACAGGAGAAAAACGTATTATGAGAACTATAGCATTGTTCATGAAGCGGCCTCATTTTAGGATATAAGATCATTTTTTTCTTCCCAGCAGTAGCCTCCACAAAATCACACTAAAAATAGTGGCAAGACTCCCACTGATTTCAAATCCATGGAATGACTTCCAAACTGTCAGGTCTTCTTTCCACTCAAGGCAACACTAAGAATGTCTTCTGATTTTATTGGAGGCATAATAATCTTCTATACTTGCTTGGTTTTGATAGAATTTGTGTCCATTCTCTTTGCAATTTACAAATATATATGCCTTTGATATTCCTATATTTCTCGTGAGCTTACTGAAAGTGTTTCTCTTACATTTTTCTCACCTCAGTACAATCAGTAAATTTATGTGAAAACCATGAAGGAGTAATGAAGGTTAGACTCAAGTATACGTCTTGACTGTGATGTGTGTGAAATGAAAATACCTTAAAGGAATTCCTTTCCTTTTTGATCACAAAAATTAATATGTCAATTCAGAAAAGACAAGCCAGGGATAAAGACAGAAGATGAAATGCATGTGTTCAGACTTGGTGAACAGAACCCTCATTTGCTTAAGCAGCTTGCTTGCCAGATACGATTTTCACACTTTACGAAGCATGACCTGCTTTAGTAGAAATTTAAGTAACACTATTAAACTGCAAATTAGATAACAAGGGAAAAGACACTGTTTCTATTTGCAGAAGCAAGATCTCAAAGAGCACGAAGAAGATTGTCAAGGGGATGCCAGGAGGAATTGGCAGAAACCATTGGGTATTAGGCCTGTAACTTTTGTACACTGAAAATCCTACATTGGACGATGTTAGCAACAACTCTGCTGGTCCTTGCTTTTGCATAACTGTGGCCAGATCCCTGCCAAAGAAACTGCAAACAGGAGCAGACCCAAGTTGCATTTTGATTGGCGTTGTCTTCAGTTAACGCTTTTAATTGCTAATGTCTGCTTAAGCAACCACAACTAAAGAAACAGTGTAAGAATGAAACAGTAGAGGGTGATGTTGGTTATTACACTAGCCAAATGTTGATCCAAGTGGAGGCAGTTTTCAGTGTAGGCTTCTGATATGCCAGTGCACTAGTGTTCTAGTTTGCATTGGTTTTACTGAAAGAGTAGATTGAGTGTGGCAGAACATATTGACTTATAAGCTCAGCTAAATTCACAGCTCTGAAGGCAGAACCTAAATTCAGCTAAGTTCCTAGTGAAGGTTCCAACATTTCATCTAGGATTGCCTTCTCTGCCTTTGTTTCCATTTTTGTTCCTTTGCCTGGTTCAATTTCCCAGTCACTATGAAGCTGCCAGTATTATTCTGTGTGTTTGTCTGCAGCTGGCACACCAGTACATCTTTGGGACAACCATCACAGTCAAATACCATCACAGTCAATTTGATGATAATATATACACAAGTAGTTGCACAGTCCTATGTTTGCTTAAATGTAAAAATCTACTCGCTACCTTGCTAAAATCAAGACCCATTTTCATCGCTTCAGTAAGAATTTGGTTCATCCTGATCTCACTGTTTTTGTGACAGAAGAGGTACTCATCAAAAATTAGTGCTACATACTTACTCTAATTCTTACGCTTCTTTTCTCAAGTCTGTCCTCTGCTTTGCCTCATTCAACTTTTCTGCTTGTCCGAATATCTACTTGCAGACACTGGCTATGTTTATTTTTGTGCTTTTTGGCTTTGGTGAGTAAGTGGAACAATGAAAAAAATTCTGTGCATTTCATCATTTTGTAAATTTACCAGGTGGTGTTTTACTCATAGCTGCTGCAATGTTCTTCACTCAACATTCAAGGACAGGATTATAGGAATTGGCCATGCTACCAACATACAAGGGTGAAAATTGAGAGAGAGAGTTGCTGAGTTAATGATTTAAGTGAGAAGGATTAAATTTAGAAATGGAGGAAGGACTTATTGTCTGTGTGTGCTATAGGAAGTTGGATGAGGATCATGGGCTGCATAAAATCTAAATAAATCCCTTGACAGAGAACTAGGAGACCTTGATTGCTTATATAAAGCCAAAAGGTAGTTGGAAGCTTCCAGAAGAAATTCGTGCAGTAGTTTCCTATGTAAAACAATTTCCTGTTAAAATGATTTAAATAGCAAGTAAGTAGAATATAAATAACATAACATATCTGTCAAGGGCCATGTTGCCGTAACAATACACAGCTGTTTATTGTGAAAACCTTAATTGACATGCCAAGAACTCTGCCAGGGTTATGGAGGACATGGTGACACACATGGTCTGAAATGGCTTCCCTGTTCGCACTTGTCCTATGGAGAGACAGAGGCCTCTTCCTAGACAATGAACTCCTAGTTATTTTAGAACGGACTCGTCTGTCTTTTTTGCTGGCTTCTTACCTACTCTGACTCTCCTTTTCTCTCTAGATAATTGACAGTGAAAGACAGTTATCTGGAAGAAGAGATAAAAGGCCCAGACTCTAGCTCTCTGCCTTCCATAGTGGGTTCCCTGTACAGCATTGCCTGGCCTCTTGTGCCCCTGGGCAAGGTGCTTGGGCTGGCTGTACTTTTAAGGGCTCTTCTAGCTCTAGCTTCTCTAAGGGGTTGCCATTATTTCATGATAGAGGAAAACAGTGTAATCATCCCTACCATTGCTGTTGCTCTGGTGCTCTGGTTATTCACATCATTAGGCTGTAGTGTGTGTGTGGGGGGTTATTTTACACGGAAATGATAAGAGAGTGTTGTACTTTTGCATTTTGGTTTAGGTTTCTGTTTTGAACTGTAAAAATAAATGAGAGTTTTAGGACAGAAAGAACTGTAAGTTAATGATTTTTTTAAATAAAATCACAGCAATGATGAAGCTTTTTTAGTCTTTTCATAATCAAGGTTGTAAAACAAATCTAACTGGTTACTGCGATCTAAATAGGCAAGGAATGATAGATTTTAAACCACTGAGGGTCAGATTTTTGCAGGACCTTGAAAAAGGTAGAAACCTGTGCTATAGTTGCATATATGATACATTATTACTATAAAGTCATTGAATTTTTATGGGCTAGTTTCGATCAGACTATGACCATTACAGATGCTGTGGTGATATCCGCGTGCAGTGCTTACCTTCTCCCAGAAACTCTTTTAAAAAATAAATTTAAATAAATAAATAAAATTAATTAATTAATTAAATCTCCTACAGGGGCATTAAAATAGCTGAAAGCAATATAAAAAATGTCGTACATACTAGATATCACACCTCTAGGGACATTGGCTTGGACATCTGGTCTTCCATAGGGTGCTGCTTGTGCAGAAATCATGGGCAGCAGTTGATTTCTATGCGTTCTGTTTATAAAACAGCTACTGTCATTCTGTTTTTTAAATTTAAATCTGTTACAAGCATCTTTCAACTTTTTACTGTTATTGTAACAGCAAAGAGAAAGGTATAGGGTCTGTTAACAGTGGAAGACCAACAGCTATTTGGATGGATGTTTGCTTAATACGTTAGAGGAATGGAATTTGGCATTATATGTCAGAGCCCAATCTCATCCTCTTAAGATGTTTTCAGCAAATTTTAAGTTGTTCTTACTATATAATCAGAATGCTCTCTATACATTGTATGTTCTTTTTGAGTTGTCTGGTTTTCAGTATCACAAAATAGTGGGGGGATTATTTGTAGAGTCTCTTCAGTGTCATTTTCTTTTCCAACAGGTGAATCTCTTCTTCCTGTTGAATATTGTCCGTGTTCTCATAACAAAGCTGAAAGACACCCACAAGGCAGAATCCAACCTGTACATGAAAGCAGTGAGAGCTACCCTGATTCTAGTCCCCCTGCTTGGCATTGAATTTGTGCTGTTTCCATGGCGACCAGAAGGCCGTATCGCTGAGGAAGTCTATGACTACGTGATGCACATCCTTATGCATTACCAGGTAGGAAATATTAAATAGTTTTTGCCCACTTGAGCTAGGAAGGTGTTGGCATGTGAAGCAAATAAAAGAGCAATGATCCTGTTATTTTACTTTTTAAAGACCTTTATGCAATATTTCTATAAATTACTTCAACTTTCTCAATACACTGAATTTTCTTTTCTTTAAAAGAAAGAAATGTACCATGATAGTCAGGAGGCCCACTACTTTTTAATAAGGTAGTTTTAGAAATGATTCACAGATTTTAGATTCGTACTACACTTTCTTTGCTATCTATATTGGAACTTTATCAGGAACATCTAATTATCTGAAACTGGAAAAAAAAAGTATGTTCATGTGAAATAAAGCAGAATCTTTTTATTTTACAGGGTCTACTGGTGGCTACAATTTTCTGCTTTTTTAATGGAGAGGTAGAGTAACCATTTTTTCATTTTTATATATGTATACTTTTGTATTCTTATATATTTTGGTTTTGTTTCAGTAATTAAGGATATAGCATAGCTGAAAAATATAGTTCCAAAATCAGAATTTAATATGTCGTTGTGCTTGGATCAAAATTTTTTGTTGAATAAGAAGTGCAATTTTGAAGAACCATCATCAGTCAATTCCAAAACCAGGCTTCTTTATTCTTATGTCAGAGAACTGAATCACATTTCATTAGTTTATGGAACTGATACTTCTTGTAGCTAACAAGCTTTGCTGTTAACTTGAACAGATCAAGGTCCTAGCACCCAAGCCTTATACTCTCAAGTGCACAGGGCCTTACTAACAGAGATAAAAGTGGTAGAAAGGCTAAATGGATAAAATTGCTCATTAATGTAGCTCTTGCTCACAAAAGGAAACAAAAATAAATGAACAAAAACATCCCACCAAAAAAAAAAAACTTTCCAACACTTCTGGCAGAAGAATGATTACAATCCTCTACTTATCCCTACACATCTGTTTGTTCATTTGTTCTACATTTAGTGAAGTTGCAGTCTATGGCTGTGAGCAGATGTGTGGGAGTAACCAGATGTTTTCATAGGATTGAACCCTTAGTTTCTTTTCTCAGATGTTGTGTGCTTATATAATGGACGGTAATATTTACTTACGGGTTAAGTATTTGGCTCATAAAAGAATTGATTCAAGTAGGTCATGCTTCCCACTCTTCCTCTTCAAAATGAAGCTGACTGAATTGCAATGAAATTTCCATGTGGTTTTGTGATTTTATTTTTTTTCCAATAAATGTATGAGTGTCCTTATATATTATATTTTATTTTATTTGTTTTGCAAAGGAAGCAGAAAAGATGAAGAAAGAGAGATTTTTTTTTTTTCAAAGTTTATAGGACCTGGGCCAGTGTTTTTGATCTGGTTTTATGGTAAAGTTGATCCAGGTTCAAGTCCCAGCTTATATATTTGAATCAAAGTAGAACAAATCACTAGATATTCTGGATGTGATTTTACCAATTTCCCACATTCAGCACAAATATTTTACACACTCTTTCCCTTCTAAATTCTATACTTCCAAATTCCTTCTAAAAAAAATTTGGAAAAAATCAGTCAGAAGTTATTCTGCTCCAATGCAAAATAGGGAAAAAATACTCCATCTCTAGAGTTTCTATGAAACAATATTGTCCACTGCTCAGCTCTGCATTTTAATCCTCTTGGATCTTCTCAGGCTATTTTACTCCTCAAACAAGTTGAAACCCAAATTTTAAAGTACAGTATATTTAGTAAAAAAGATTTGCTTCATATGTTAATTTTCCACTGCTACAAACTCATAAGGTATTTTTTACATTGTTCTCTTCTGCAAAAGCAAACTCTAGTCATTCCACTAATTCAGTATCTTACACTCACCTTTGGCTGATCAGTGTAAAAGATGAGCTCCTCCACAGCTTGAACAATGTGGGCAGGATAATGTTAAATGGTGGATTCAGACACTTGAACCAAATGTTTATACTCTAGGCCTTGTCTTTGTCAGTTAAACATGTATGTGTCCACTTGCTTTATATAGGGGAAATTTATGCTGGTTAAACCAGTTTTACTTCTGGTTGCGGTGTTTCAGTGACCAAAACTGACCTGTTTGGGGGTATTTTCTTTTTTTTTTTCTCCATTACCCTGGTTCTAGAGGGGATCTATTACTTCATAACCAACAATTAGTAAGGAAATCCATGGGGAGAATGGCACTGTACTTAGGAAAAACTGTCTGCGCAAAAACAAGGTTTCCTTGGTCTATTAAATAATACTGCTTCTGGCATGTGAGCCTGAAGGCATATGTATATTTTGTTGCCACTATAATCTGTTGCTGTCATAGCAATGCATTAACTTAGCCTGATACCGTAGCTTTGCTGTTGTGTACAAGGTGCTGCTCTATCAGCATCTGTCATAGCAACACCTCATTATATACCGTACAAAATGAGAGGCATCAGTGTTAACACTTACATGCTGTTCTGCAGCAAGGCTGTGGTGTGAAGGTGAATGCTGATATTGGAATCGACACTTTGAGTGACAATGGGAAAACGGTGTTCCAGTGGGGTTATTAGCAGTTAAAAATGCCAAAAGCAATCATTTCTTTTTAAACTAAATTGTAGCTTTTCCCAGCTGCTACTCTACCTTTTGATGTTTTCTATAGCAAATATCAGGAGCCAAACTCTGTTCAAGTGATGGCTTGCAGGCTATCTTGGGCACTGGCCAAAAGGCCAACCAGTAGAGCTAGCATCTTTCTGCAATAAAAGAAAGACCAGGGTCTTTTCTGTACTGGTCTTAATGAGGTAATTTACCATGGAAAAAAGAACAAATGGAAATTTACTGATATGCGCCGATTGATTGATGTGAGTGAAGGTTATGACTTTGAATCAGACGAGTGATTTGGGGTACATTGCTGGATAAATGTGGGCATCTAGAAAGTCAGTACTTTGCTAGTTGATGCAGAAGGGATTCCCAGAGTCACTGGTTATTGGGCAAATAGTTTGTGTGAAGAGGAAATAAAATAGTCAGGATCTCTGAGCAATTTTTGAAGAGATGGTTCTTTAAAAACAACAACAACAACAACAAACACCTTTTGAAAAAACAATAGTTATTGGCATTCTTAGCATTCTTTACTTGGCATGTTCCCTGAAAAAATAATTCCATGTGAATTTCATTAATGTCACACTTCATCAATCAAATATGTGCAGGTGTTTAACCATGTTGTAGGAGAGGAAGCCCATGATAAACATAACATCCTTTCAGTGACAAACTGGGGCCTTTAGCTATTTATCAGTGTTATTTTTAACTCTGGTAGATATACGGAATTCAGGAAATTGTCTTTCTAGTCATTTCATTAAATTGTGGTAAGAAAACAAGGGCTTTTTTGTGGAAGAACCATAGCAGATGGTATAAGACGATCATATAAGAATTTAGAGTTGCTAAGGATGTGTCCTGTTGAATGTAAGAATGAATAGAAATGACCTTTTTACCTGTAAATCTTATGTGTTGACATTAGACTTTAGACCAGAGAGGACAAAGCAGAAAATTTTGTTGCAGCTGCTCCTCCTATAAGCTGGCAAATTTGATGTGAAAAGCACAAAGAATTATGCCTATTGAAATTTAAATTCTTTCAGAACATCTCATGTGACCTATCACTTGTAGGTACCCTAATTTCCAGGAGTATTAAGCCTTACTACCTAAGTTACTGAGACATTTATTATGACACTCAGTCATCAAAGAATGAAGCCTAATGGTATCTTTCCAAGTGTTTTATGTGCTTTTGTTTTTGTTTTCTATCACAGGTCCAAGCTGTTTTGAGAAGACACTGGAACCAGTACAAAATCCAATTTGAGCACAGCTTCAGCCACTCAGATGCTATGCGCACCGCTTCCTACACTGTATCATCAATCAGTGATGTTCAAGGCTATGGCTACAATCATGACTGCACCAGTGAACATTTAAATGGGAAGAGCTATCATGACATGGAGAGTGTTGTTTTAAAAACTGAGAAGCTGTATGGTTGATTGCCAAAGACTTGGCTGATGCCAGAAGTGTTCACCCTCGTAGTTCGTGAACTTGAAGTTTGATTTAATGACTTCATGGCCAGAAGATTTTTCCTAACTTGGGATATGTTTTTCTCCTGCAAACAAAACCAACGCATTTTTCACATGTATATATACATACGTTTGTGTTTCATTGTATCTATATAGTATGGACATCCATACATCTATCTATCTGTATGTGCATTTATGTAAGGATACAAACTTTGCCTCTTTAGTTTCTACTGTGTAGACAGAGTTGGCAATTTTTTGTATAAAGGGAATCAATGAAGGATTTCTTACTTTCTTGGAAGTTTGTATAAAGACTGTGTTGTACTGAAACCACTTCATTTGCCTATAGAAACTTAGGGTGTAAATAACATACTGTACTGTCTTAATTCAACCTAAAACTGAAAAAAGGAAAATGGTTAAAATAGGTGCAATAATTACAGTAGATTGTCCAGTTTAATTTTGTGTCTAGTATTTGACTGTCCAAAAAAAAAAGGGTAGCCTAAGATAACAGACTCAAAGATATTGATGCTGAGCCAGTTAGATTTCATTTTGCCACTATTTTAAATGAAGCATTAGACATGCCAGTGCAAGTTTTAGATTCTACTTACTTCTGTATTGCAATGTAATGATTTACAGCTAGCTTTGAAGCATTTTATTTAAAGTGCTTTCACATACACAGAAGTGTCTCCTCCTCTTCAAGTTTGTCAAAGTTTCTTAGCAGCTTTACTGCAGACTGGATCAATGAGGCCTTACTGCCACAAAGAAAAGTAGTAACCTGAATACCTGTACCTATACCATCCTGACACTAATGCAGTCTGATGGAACTTTGCTGAGTGCTTAAGCAATTTTCTCAGCTCGAAAGAGATCACATACTGATTTTGTTGTTGTCATGTTGTTTCTTTTGTTTTACTTTCGGGTATTTCCATGGCCATATGCTTAATAATTTATTCCTTTGTTTTTGGGGCAACATTTTTGATTAATCTTGTGGCTTGTTTTGTTTCAGAAAAGTATGAAGGACTGAACGCAGTGCAAATGGTATACTACCTTTAAAGCCAGTGTAGCAGAATTCAGATTAATCAAGCAAATTAATGTTATTAACATATATATTTAATTATTTGGAAAAATCCAATATAAGCTTATTCTTACAAAGCTTCAAAAACATTATGGATTGAGAATATAATTTTGGGAGTGCTTGATTCTGAACAGGACTTAAAAGTTGTTTCTTTTGGTTCTACTGGTGGATAAAGGCCTCATTGAAAACTGAGGAGGTTGATGGGAAGGTCTTGAGAAAATGGGTCTATAGCAATCTACATTTTTGAAAATCTTTATGCTTTAAAGAAATAACGTTTTTCTGTAGAGAAATGACAAAATTGCTAAAGAATGACCGGATGGTAAAAGGTGAATTTATAAAAGTCTTACTAAGAAGCTCAGAAGTAGAAAAAGGTTTTAATAGTTTATTTTGCAGATAAGCCTACTTCAAAAAGTAGGGGAAGAAGAAGAAAAGTGGATACTGGAGTTGATAGATTATTGTAATGCTGATGCACATCTGGTAAGCAAGTCAACAAACTTAAAGACAGTTCTTTCTGAGACCACTTTAGTTTTATGTACTTAGGTTTGTATATGAAGAACTTGATTTTTACATTTAAATGTTTTTGTCAGTAGCCTTTCTGTAAGCTTCATTAGCATTTAATTAATTTGCTGTCACACTGTTTATTGGTTTGTGACTTCATAAGGCTTTCAATGTTTTATATTTAGAAGGAGAACACTAGGAGGATGCAGTAAATTCATGCCACTTGCACCTTTCCCTAGTGTTTGTTTGTTTGTTTTTTTACAGTTACGTCTCGGGTTTGAATTTAGAAAGCATTTTGTTAATATTGTAGTTTCATAACAGAATTTTTGCTAAGCTGTTAAAATCAAGATTTCTCTTCTGGAAGGCTGTTTCGTAGTGAAAATCAGTTGGATGCTATACTAAAGAGCAGCATGAAATGTCACAATCAGATGTCACAATCTCTTATAAGAATACAGTGATGGCATCTGTTATAACATGATTAGAGATTACTACTCTGCTTGCTGATCTATGTAGTGTTACTTAAAAATCTGTGCAATGTTCTGAAAGTACTAGTGGTGCAGAAAATCCCTTGTCTCATATAGCGTCTTTGGTATAGCTCTGGGAGGACCAGATCATCAACTGGTACAAATCTGTCATGAGTTCCACGTTCAGAGTCAATGGGTACCAGCTGAGAATCAAAGCCCACACAGATACCTGTCCATTTAAAAGTGCTTCAGAATCCTTTATGGCATATTATCAGACAATTGTTTCAATGATACCTGGTGGGCTGTTATAATTAAAAACAAGTAACAGCTGAGAATGTGATATGGTATTAGATTTATAACTCACTTTATCTCTCAGCTAGGCACTTCAAATTTAATAGCCTAAGAAATTGTGTCATTTTATACAAAGTACTAGATGCCTGTCCCCTGTCAGAGAAACTTGTAATGGTAATTTGCAGGAGGAGGAGTTTGTTTTTTGCACAGAAATTGTCCTGCTTCTGCGTACGGTCACAGCATACTTCTAAGAACACTTTTTCAAAAGAAATACATTCAACTGGACATGCAAGAAAATGTTCATGTCTGTGAAGGGAGAGCTACAGTCCCTGCTCCTCATGAGATTAAACTAAACTATGTCCTGTTTTGCACTGGAAAATAGGAAGACTAAATAGATGATTTTTATCTGACCTTTTTCAGTTCCTAGACAGCCAAGAGCAGGGTCTGGTTTTTTTTTTTTCTTTTTTTCGGTCTTTTACCACTATAAATTAAAATCAAATCCTTATACTGATATTTCTTATGGCTTATTTTCTGCATTGTAGAATATTGTAGTCATTATCTGTATTCTCTGGGATGAAAGTAATCTCCAGTTTGGAGGGGCTGTGAGATTCCATTGAACATGCATTCATCTATTATTATTTGCTCTTTTTTTGTTGTTGCTATTTAGTGAGGATTTATTGTGTCAGTCTGAAGGGGGCTACAGAAATGCTTATATTATATCAGGTATCTGTAATTCTAGCATCTTAGTTTTGTATGACGGGAATGTCTATTTTTAATGCTACTGCCTTCAGTTAGTAAAATGCACAGATTGAAGTTCCAGTGCAAAGTCCCCTCAGTTTTTTGTTTTGTTTTTTAATGTTATCAACTATGCTTTGTATTTTTTCTCATTGTGATGATCTACTAGAGTATTTGGCCATAGAAATGCTGCAACACATACTATTTTTTATGTCATGAAACATTTGGGCTGGAAACCAGGCAACATTCAAGTATTGTACTGTGTAAATAAGATTAATAGAAGCTATAGCATTGTATTTATTGCTTACACTAAGAATGAAATGGAAAAAAATGTGAAGTTATTTTTTGGATGTGCTTTATTTTCACTTTGTTCATATGAGTCATGCATTTTAATTGCTGAAAGTATTATGTTTGTGATCAATAAAAAATTACTACATTTATTCAGATCTCTTGTATTGTAATTTGGCAATAACAAAGCTGATCCAACCTACGATTTCACAAATGTCTTAACTGTGTGTTAATTATTAACCAGGGAGAAAAAGTCATTACAGAGTTATTAATAATTATTTAGTATCTAAGTGTTTATTTAATATTTAAGTTTTTAATGCATAGAAAAGTGTTGCAATTCTGGAGGAAGCTTGCACAGATGGCTACAAAACGACTGCATTTATTTTTTTTAACTAAATTGCTTCTTATTCCTATTTATTTGTCTTTTGAATCTGCCTTTCATTACTAAGTTATTGATAATTAGTTAAGAAACCAACTGTTCTGTTCCATCATAAGCTGGCAGCAGAGCAGAGGCTAAAGTAAATGCATCTTTTTCATTCCATCATCCTAGATTGAGTTTCTCTCAACTTGGCGCTCAACCAGACCCCAACCACAACTGCTCCAAATCACTTAGCTGTGCAGAACCTGTTTCATTCGAGCAAGACAAGAAGCACAGTCACAGAAAGAATAAGTGAGATTTCCTGGTTGTGGTTAGTTTTTTGTTTGCTTCTTTTCCTTCAGATATGCTTGATGGTATCTGCACAATAGTACTAAGCACATACATGTTTTAAATCTGTAACATTGTGGTTTTTGAATATACTGAAGTATTACCTCGGCATAGGCACAAGCCTCTGAACTGTGGGCGTAGAAGCTCTAGTGAGGAAGCGAAATAACTGCAGTGACATTGGGCCAATTGTCTCTGTACACACTGCTGCAGGTCTGAGTTTTATAAAAGTTAACCAAGTTAAGTATGCTTCTACCTACAGTGACAAGATGTGAAATTTAGCCATCTATTCTCAAGTGAAATCTACAGTAATCCTGGTTAACTCACTCATCAGAAACTGGGAAGGTAGGTGTTCTTTAAGCATCTCCTTGAGTAAATTCTGTTAAATTTAGAGCCAGACAACTTACCTGGTCCTAAAGTGAAACATACTGCTTCGAAAATGTACATATTTATATACCTACTTGATTGAGTTTCTACCATGGCTCTTAAAAAAAAAAAATCTGTGCAATAACTTTAGAGTAACACAAACTGTTTCTATCTTTTTTTTGTTTGTTTGTTTCTCAATGCTGCTCCTAAGCTTTGTGTCTAGGTGAACTGAAGGTATGGCTTACAGCTCAAGTGCCAGGAAACATCTCTCCTTCAGCAGACTTCTGTTAAAAGTTATATAAGAAATCCCCACCTAGAATTTTTAAGTCTTATATGGGATAATAAGCATTTTGGTTCTTGGCTATTATCAAGCCTATTGCCAGGAAAAGGAGTTAAATGTCATTACCCTTAGCCTGAACATCCTCATTTCAGAGATATTTTATTTACAATTGGGCACTTAATGATGACTGTTTAAAGTTTCCTTGTGACACTAGAAGATTAAAAGCTAAGATGGCAGAAAAAGAAACTGAGAAAAGAACACTTGTTAATTTATAGTTGATTAATTAAGGCCTTTGCTGCAAGAGTTACAATGACCCCCTCACCCTTAACTTGTTTTCAAGTGGGAGGTAATATAACGCAACTGAAATAAGGTTAGAAATCTTACCTGACTTGATAATTAAATTTCATTTCTGTTGAGCTGTGATACAATATTCATTGTTCCAGTTTTAGCTACTTCAATTATTCTGATAGAATTATAACTTGCAGAAACAGCTTATATACATATTATATGCTCTAATTGCAATTAAGTGCTATAGAGAGAGAACATATACAGATTATATACTCTTAAGTGCCAGTAAATATACCAGCATTTAGAATTTTTTTGTGTTTTTTTGCATTTCTGTTTTTTTGCTTGTTTTGTTGTTCTTGTTTGCTAGTTTTAAGAAAAGCTCTCCAAACTGTTTACAAATAGTGGTTAAAATTCAGCCTTTTGTTGTACACATGGAAAAGCTGAAAGATGGCTTAGTTAAGTGGTTTAACCAGTGCCCATTTTGGGTCTTAGGTTATGTCCAACTGATGGATTAACATTGTACTTAGGACACCGAATGATGGAAGATCTCAAATATTTGGAAGCCTCCGATGTGCTACCAAGGTTCTGTCTGCTATATTCTGCTGTCTCCTGTATATTTTTATATATATGTACTTACATACCTTCATAAGATGTTCAAGACCAGCAACAGCTCGGCATTTTCAGCCTGCTTTCTGTGTTATTATCCTAAATAGCAACACATAGGGTTACTCAGTTGTAGGAAAAAAGTTATTTTTTTTCCACTTTTTTTTTGGGGGGGGGTGTGGGGGCAAAGTGTGACAGCGAAGTGCTAAAACAGTAGTAAAAACAACTATTATAATTAGTATCCTAATGGACTAGGGATATATAGGCTGGTGTTTTTAAGTGACAAAGAAAGAATAGAACGGTAAACATATTTAGAGCTGAATGGTGACTTACTGCTAAAAAAAAAGTCTAAACACTGTGGAAAATCAAGTAGGTAAGGCTGTATTGGACTCACTCAATTGTTTAACCTCGCTCTGTTTATTTCTCGGTAAGAGAAAAAGCAGTATATATAAAAGCAAACAAAAAAAATAATCTAAAAAGAAAAAGCTGTGCATCTATTTGCTTCAAGTGAGACAGAACACTTACTGCAGTTGGTTGTCCAAAAAGGATGCATGGTAGTGGGCTAAGGAAAAGGAAGGAATTGTTTTTGTTTTCCTGCAGCTTTAAAACAACTTGGCTCTGAAATCTCATTTCAACACCTTTATAAAAGGAAACCTGAGCAAGAGCCATAACTTGAGGTAAAAAAAAGTGCCCAATTAAGCCAAGCTGTATTTATACACACAAGGCTCTTAATTCTGGGTCTTAATACTATTTTGTGCATGATACCAATATTTTACAATGTGGTAATAATGTCCAATCTCCCAGTTCCCGTTCCTGACATTTGAGCAGGAACCTGTAATTCTAGGTTATTATGTAGAACGCTTTTGATGAGGACTGAATTTCCACCAGTAGATATTACTACAGATTCACTAATACTCTTCTGTATCTATTTGTTCCAGCTAAGGGTATGGCTTAGTGATCTCTATCAATTGGTGCTTCTCCTTAATACTGCAGCTACAACATTCAAAATGCAAAACTCTGTATTACAAAATGTTTTGCTTAGTGCAACACTTTGAATACTTCATGTTCAAATCCATTCTAGAACCTAGAATAAGCAAGTGGTGGATGGTGGGAAAGCAGGTGGATGTAGTGACACAGGCTGCAGGCATCTGGCTGCTAAAGGCCACAATGCAGATTATACAGTGCTACAATTTGAGCTATTATACTATGCCAGCAGCAATAACTATGGAAAGTTATGCACTTCAGGAACAGCAGGGTAATTACTTATATTGCAATAGCAGTAACACACAAAATACATTTAACACATAAGCAAACAACAGTATAGACACAGAACAAACAAAAAAAAAAAAAGAAAAAAATTTTGTTTTACCTTTTTCCAGTTTCATGAAAAAGCCTAAGCAAGAGTTCTAGTTACACATACTCTACTCCTATAAATAATAATCCATGAAAAAAAGCTCAAGTTTTTTCCTCTTTCACTTTTTATACTTATACACTGCTACCATTCTCTTTTCAGGAGCTGGGCTCTGCACAGTAACAAGAGCCTGTCTGGAAGTTCAGAGCTGAGAGCCTCCTGGTTATAATTAGAATGATTATCTACCATCCCACAGATGTATATTTTTAATGAAACAGACTGACTAAATGAAGAGTTTAAAATGATACACATGAAGTTCATACTTCATTTGAGACAAATAACATATATGATTATTTTTATATTAAACTGGTTTAATATAAATAAACTAATAGTTTAATATATTAATAATTTATTATATTAATATATAATTATCAATTTCCAAAATAACAATGTGCACACTAAATTGTAAAGATATTTGCAACTTCACTTTCTACCGATAATTCCAAAGTGTTTTTTTTTCCCATCAAACTCACAACTTTCTAAATGTAAACTATTACAAAGGGAAAAAATACCTTTTGATTAGTGCTAACTCACATGGAATCATAGAATCATTTAGGTTGGAAAAGACCTCTAAGATCATCTAGTCCAACCTTTAACCTAGCACTGCCAAGACTACCACTGAACCATATCCCTAAGCTCTACATAAAGCTTAATATATTAGCCAAATGTAACAATATAAATACAGAAAAATCCAAACATCTAAGGTATGTTTTATGAACACATTGTCTGGTTAAATCTAGCATTAGGGGTAAGTGCAGTTTTTTACCTCTGCTGAAGGTAGAGTTGACCAAGAATGCAAGCCACCTGCTGCCTAGTGTGTCTTTCCTCTTTATAGTTTGTCTTTCCCTGTGTCCTAAAAGAACATGTTTAGTATGTAGAGAAATGGTTTGAAGTTCTCAGTAGGCCTATGGCCGACATTCAGGGCAGGATTTAGGAGTGAAACCTGAAGTTATACAGCAAATATATATATATAAGGAAATATCAACTGCACAAATTATTAAGGTAGAAAATAAACTGGAATAGAAATACATATTTGCTTAGCTCCTTACCTTGATATTTGCAAATTAAATCTGATGCATGTGACTGTAGCAGAGGAAGTTATTCTGAAGGTCTTCGGTGCATTGGCTATGGATCACTGCTAAATTGGTGATGTCTTTGACACGGTGCAGTAAAACCGGTGGGTATCAGCTCTCCTCCTTTCAAAGAATAGTCACAGACTATTCCTTTGTGTTATGGCAGTCCACTGTAAATGCAATAGCTTCACATATAAATATATAAGAAAACAAAATATTGAATTATGAGTGAGCAACAGTCTTTCAATGTTACAAAAAGTAGATTAGAGCGAACAGAAATACCTATCAAATGCTTTTTAACCACTATGATGCATATGATACTAAAAGCATTGTTGGCTATACTGGACTTCAAGGAAAAAAAGGTAGCATTATCTATTTTGTGCCTATTTTAATACCCCCAAATGCCAATGGACTTAATTCTTTAAATGTCAGTGAAAAGCTAGTTTATTTGTGAAATATATTTCATTTAGCTAACTTTGAATATGAGCCAAATATATGCATTTAACAGAGCTCAAAAGTGCACTTGGCTAGGTTTCCCGGAAGGCTTTTGGTCATATATTCCCCAGAACACTGTCCATAGTCCAATTTGTTTCTACTATTCACAAGGGACTCACATCTTATGATTCCTAATGGAAGCCAAGAACTGTCTTCAGATACAGGCTCCTTCCAGGACATTTTTGGACAGATGATGCCAGTTAAAAGGGTTTCCTTGTTCAAGGACCTCTTTCAATATTCTGTGGGTAGATCATCACCATGGATACTTCAGAATCTGAGACAAGAACAAAATTCACAGAAAGCAATCACAGATGACTTGAAAAATTACAATATATATATATATATATATATATATATATATATATATATATATATATATATATTAATATTCTGGAATTTTTAAAAGATACAGTGATACTGCCCTATTTTTCATATTCACAGCTCTATTGGAAAAATAATCTCAGTTTAACATAACTGTGATAAACATGATCTAGATGAAGCAATAGACTGACTACAAGAATTCAGAAAGTTAGAACATCACTTCCTTCATTATTTTTATTATTATTATTAATAATAATAATCAAATAGAAATAGCTGTGATGTAATTAATTCAATTTCAAATAATTTCAAGGTTTGGCCTCTGACCCAGATAGTCCTTTCCAGTTCAACTCTATTTTCTGTGAGGTAGTGAGGTATAGATTTTTTTTATTTTTTTTTTCATTTAAAGCTAATCGCCTTTTTTTTTTTCCTCTTATTTTTCCCTCCAGGGACTTGTTTATAGAAGTAAGGATAAGGAGTTCTGTAAATAACCTGCTCTAACTGTAATTAAAAAGCTGATTAGAATGACTTGTACATGAAACACAAGAAATTCTTAATGAACAAAGTTGAATCAGGAAGCTTTCACAGAAATAAGAAAAATATTGAAAGCAAAAATAGAAACATGATAGCACCAGAATTTTAGAAATGTGGGTTTTTTGCAGACAATAATAGCACTGCATACAATACATGTTATTTCATTATATAATAATAATAAAAAAAAATAACAAGTTATTTAACATTTGCATGGAAATAAGAACAGCTAATTGCAATGAAAAAAAAAAATTGAAGATCTAACAAAACGTTTTGTGTTCTATCCCTTACTGTCTTTCCCACCACCTTTCTGTGACCTCCCTACTTCACTGTCATTGACGTCATTTTTTCATTCTTCCTCCCCTCATTTCTTAGTTTTCACCAAACACCAGCACCAGTGGGTATCCACATCCTTGCAAGATTCTTTCTTTCTAACAGCTGTCTCAAAAGCCTTGGAAACTGGACCTATTATTGTTCCTGCCCTGCTTCTTTTTCCCATCCATGGCAGCTGTATAGGGTCCACAGGGGGAGAGCAGTAGGCAAGTCATGAGCACTCACAGACTTTCTGTTTTTGTTGAGATACACTTGGCATAAGAATGAAGCTAGCTTAGCCTCAGCTAGCCTATTCTTACTCACACCCATTTCCTCAGTAAAGTTGTTCTGGCACTGGGGAGTAACTGGCATTGTGCCTTCCTGCAAGGAAGAATGCACTGAGCTGGTTTTCTGGCTGTGCGCTCCTTATTGTGCTGTGGAATCTCTGGCCTTCTCCTCAATCATTCCCAGTTTATGCCTTTTTAACGCTGTTGAAACAACTAAAGGGAGAAGGAATCCCCATCAGATTCTACAAGCAGAGGCAGCTGCAAGTTGAAAGCCAGACAAGTCTAAGAATTCGTCATATTTCTAATCCCGCAGAAGCATGAAGTTACTAAACATACATGGATGGTATGAACACAGAGAGCCAGTGGCAGTACTCCAAATACACAAAGACAATATGAGCATGCAAAGCCGATGGAGCGATGTTACATTGCATACCTGCATGGCATAAAAACCAGACTAACAACAAAACAAACCAAAAAACTTGTGTGGCATGTCAGTGATTTAAGAACTCCAATACCACTCAGTTCTATAATTGTCAAAGACATGAAGATGTCAAAGAATGAAGAATAATTGCATATCCCTCTACTTGCACACATGCGCCATTTCCTTTCCCGGCCCACACATGCTTATAAGAGGAAACGTTAAAAGTTATGCTGAAATTTCTTCCATTAGTAAACATTGCACATATGTTTAAGGATAGGGTGGCAACTTTACACACACTTTTCCCTTTTCCTTCCTTGAATTCCACCTGGCCCTTCTTTTATTCACAACATAATATTATCTGGCTTTAACTACAACAGATCTACATGATGAAATTCTAAGCCATCCAGTTCAGTTCCCTACAATAGGTGCCAAGACAAAGAAATCATTCCTATTTCTGTTCAAGCAGTATTTACTGCTGAAGTAATTTACTATAATGTTTAAATATTATGTCCTGTTTCTAGACTAGGTAATAAAGCTCCCATAGACTTAAATAAATCATTTTAAGTAGCATGTCTAGACCTACCTGACTGTCTAAAAGTAAGCATGATCTTTTCAAAGCTTGAAAATACGTACTTTTTTTTTTAATAGTGCCCTCTTTGGTTGCAGCTGAGACCAATAATTTATGAGTATAATGAGAATGGCTAGTCTAACAATGTTTCACTTTGAACTGTAAGTAAACTCTACAGAAGTAGCGTGGGTTTGAACTAAATGAATATGGATGTGCATCATAAAATAAAATCAAAATGAAAACCAGGTTTTCCCTGCTTGCTTTCACCTAATCCTCAAATTAGTATTGTCTGTCATCACATTCACAAATCAACAGCATCTATGTGGTCTACCCACTGAACACCTTTTTGATTTGTTCCACTCATCAGCTTTTAACCAGACCATAGCAAATGCACTAGAGTATTTTTCACCAGCTGACCCTGTAGTGCCTGTGTTCATTGTAACTTCCCTATATTTTCATCTTTGAAGTACTTTACTTTTATTTCAGAGCACTTATTTCGAGAAGCCTCTGAAAGTTTATTGTTATCACTTTTACATACAGTAAAACACTGAACTTGCTAGGTTAAAGAGGTCTACTGTCAATAGGGGCGTGCTCTTCTCTATAATCAAGGATATAACAGCTAGCTGTCTGGTCAGCGCATACTGATGACAAGCTATGTATTCAGAGAGATACACTTAGGAAGTCATGAAGTTGAAAATAACGGAATATTTACTGGAGAATGTGAGGTACCAAAATAAGGAAGGAATATGCTCTGAAGTACATTCAAATAAACAATGAATAATCAAATTAATAACATAACCTAACCAAAACATAAGCTAACATACAAATTCTTACCTTTTCCAGGCCTACTGCGTTTCCACATCCGCAATGAACTGAGAGCTGATATTTTATAACTACAATATGTACATCTGGTTTCAGGGTGCAACTAAAAAGAAAAGAGGGATATCTATCAATAATGGTTTTCATTGTTGCTAAAATTAGGGCTTTTTTTCACTTCTGCTTCATTGCAATCACCTTCAGGATAGTGAATCTCCTTTTCTGGACACAATGCGACTTTGAACAAAAGAGATAATGCCCTGCTGGATGGTCATTACAGGTGCAAGATTGCACTTCATCACATAAAAATGATGTTTAAATTTAAAGGATGATCCTGGCAGATATCATAATCTTGTATCATCATCTTCATATTTTAGCTGTCCAACACCGCAGCCCAAGGGATATGCTAAAGATACATGAAATATGATCCAGTATGTTCTTTTGACTACGGAAAAAGAACAGACTATTTCTGATGTGTAGCACCACCTTTCAGTACTAATAGAGGTTTAAAAATTGAGAACTTGAGACCCTTCTCAGTAACAAATGGATAGCGAGTGTAACATTGTCATTTTGGTGATGACAGAAAGCACAATTCAGCAGAAAATATCTTGCTTCTCCCCACTTGCTTTGAACTTTTCATTTTCTCTTTGCAAATTTTCTTCATCATCTGCAAATACTTAGTGTAGCCATGTGTTAGGGAATTACATTATATTCCCTCCAACTATGTGTCATTAAAATTATTCAGCTTTGCTTTGAGAGTCAAAGTCAATTCATCTGCAGATTAGTTTAACTGCCTCTGAAGTCTTCGGTCCCAAGAAAATGCAAGCCTCAAACCTACTGCAAGCTGCACCTGTCCTGCCAGAGTGACAAAAAGCCACAGGCAGGACCTAAATGCTCAGAGCTACATAATTATGTCGAGACCTATTTTTACCTGTTGGTTCAGTGGAGGTCTGTGATGACACAGCCTTCTTGACAGTAAACTGGTTCGGGTATCCTCTTCAATCCACACTGTCTGGTGCTGGATTATTCTCATATTCTGTCCTGTAAACAGAGACACCTGCAAGAGAAGAGCTCCTTGAGATTCCAGCCTCTCTTGTGAGTTTGAACAGGGTCAAACATACATTGATCCTTTTTGTTTAAACATTTAGTTAGTTTCCTTGCCTCCTTTGAGTCTATCTTGGCTCTGTTTGAAGAAACAAGATGTTCTTTTCAACATCATATGCATTGTTAAAAAGGTTTCTAATACAAAAAGCCACTGAAGTTTACCAGAGTAGTTAATCCAGATAATTGTTCCATAACTCCCCTTGTGGACACTATCCCTCGAGAATAAAAGAGGGTTCTGTGCTTTTATGCTCAATTTGCTTTATTCATGTTGGAACAAAACTTTTTTTTTTTTTTTTCTTCTGGAATATCTACTCTGGTAAATTTCCAAGTACAGTTGTTCCATCAGTAGCTAATGGGGAAGAAAAACATAAGGCTCTCCAAGACTCCAGGGCATATTTTTGGATCTATCAACCAGCATTCTCTATATTAAGTTCTTGAAGAAAATTTGTTTAATAATTTTGTACTATAAAGTTACTGTTCTTGTACAATTGCCACAAGACTCTATATCTGATACAGCCCAGCATTCAGCAAATAGTCATGATAATAAAAACATACTGTACTGACTAAGATTTTTGTTTTAGTTTGTGTGGTTTTTTTTTAGGCAAAGAAAAAAAAAAAAAGGTGAAAATACCTAGGTTTGGTGAAAGACAATGAAAAATTGTTACAGACATATTTAAGCCTTCAAGAACAGTGTCACTAGAAGCCTGTGGTGGGATATATTTGTATTTCACAAATACACAGAAGCATAGAAATTGCAAAAATGTTTGCAAGAGCATTAAAGCAGGCTATATTCTCAGGCCAATTCCCCAGTAAATTTGACTTTATTCCCACACTACAGTTCTGAACTCAATATGCTTCACCATATCTGACAGAATCTCAACTCAAGAGGCAGCCTACCTGAAGACAGAGGGGAAAAAAAAAAAACATTTTTTTTCTCAATTTAGTTCATACACCTTCAATGTGATTTTTTATAATAGCAACCAAACCAAATGGGTTAATAAAAAAGCTTTCAACCAGCAAAAAGCAATCAAATGTGTTGAAATTTTCAACACTGCTTTCCTTGTGCAAGCCTTCAGACTATTATACTTTGTCCAAATCCAAATGAAATGAATTTATCATATAAAGAGAAATCTGACAGAAATATGCCAGACTTTCTCTCTTTGCTGGAAATCATTGTCCTTCATATGGAACGAGATGTAAAATTGCTCCTGTGTTAATTTTGCTGCTGGGGTCCACATCAGAGGTGGTTTATAAGTATATGAAAGATCAGGTTCTGAATAGAATAGCAATAAAACAAATAATACAGATTAAACTTCATTTCTATCATTGCAGAAGAAATACGGTAACTACACTCCCTTTTTTTTTTTTTTTTTTGGCAGAATGACAGTTTCCAAATATTGAAGAAACACCAAAGGAAAAAATTGTTTCCTTTTAGAACAAGTTGAAGTTATTTACTTATATATATATATATATATATATATATATATATTACTGGGAGAAAAGGTCATAGATTTTAAGAGACTATCATAAAAAAATAATCGCACCTCAAAAATATGAAACTTGAAAAGTAAAATTCTGAAATGATAAAATTTCCTGTATTCCGTTCTTTCTCGCATTTTGCCTCCTTAGGCAGCATATCTTGGGTTTATTTTTATCTGATATTTTCCTTTAGTTAGTGTGTAACTTCATTTCAAACTCGGTAGATAAAAACTATACTCATTACACATGCTTTGATTGCTGGTGCATATCCCTCATTTTAAAATCCTGATTGCAGTATAGGTCTATCTTATAAATAACACAGTCCTATCTACCACTGAAATCTGTTCTAAATGCAAATTGCTACTTTCCTACCAGCTGTTTTCTTCAGGTTTTAAAGTCATCTTTCAAAGGCTCTAGATAGATTTATTTTCCTTCAAACTCCCTTCAACTTTTTATTTAATCCTCACAGACTCTGTAACAGCAGTGTTGAACAAACTAATGAACTCTAAGGAATTATGCCTTGGTAGTTTATATTACTAGCATTAGTTTCAGTCCCAGTGCCCTGACATAGATGACCATCCTCCCAGACCACCGGCTTATCAGAGGAGAAACCATACAGCCAGTGTTTCCATACTATACTGTTCCATTTATACACTGGATACAAGGAAGAGCTGTACAAAGCTGCTTAACCTCTTCTATCCTGTCCTGTCCCATTTTGGCTTAAAAATCAATTAATGTGTACTTCAATTTTTCTCATGAATTTAAACAAACACTTCCCCCAATTCACATGGTACCCATAAACAAAGAACAGTTAAGATATATAATACCATTATAACACCTTTATAGAGAGAACAACAAATTGTGTTAACAGCTTTAATAACCTTTTGAAGTTTCTCACCTTGAGCAAGTTTGGTATTTTGTCAAAAAATCTTGAATATAACACTCATATTTTATTGCAAAATCAGACAGCTGTGTATTTGTTTTCTGATGTTACTCAAAGCAGACAAATGTTTTGGGCTCAGTCCAGTGCCAGAGCTCTCAACTCCTTAAACCATTTCAGGTTTACATTCAATATGGTAATCATGGTTTTGTACTTAAATCACTTACCCTTCTACTCTTGGAAAGGAAAAGAATTTGCAATGATAATTATTAAAATAGAAATAGAGTTGTTTTTCCTCCAGCCCAGCCCAATTCGATTAAAAAATATATATTTTTTTAATCTAAGTACAATAGCACTAAGATTTATTGGTGTCTGTGATGCGCAAGATGCAGAACTCCGGTTTTGCTTATAGCAGGACTGTGCCAGTATTCTTCTTGGAAAGGTCTCCAGACAGCTCAAGTTTACACTGTGTTACCCAGTAACATAACTACTCAGACAAGTCACTAAGACTTCTGTCCAGCTGTCAGCCCAATGCAATGCAGCAGTGGGAGACTGCTGATTCATGCAGCTAGATTAGGCAAAAATGTCTCCAAACAGGCCACCTTCCAAAGCAATCTATACACTCAACTGAGGCAGGCAGGATGCTTGTTTTGCACATTCGCCTCTTTCCCAATATCATTATAACCAGTTATAACTGAAGATCTCCAGTTCCCTCTTTTAGATTTCTAACCAAATCTCTGCAATACTACATTTGCCTTGTGTTCTGCAACGCATCTGAAATGATGAAAAGAACTTAAGCTGCAGCCTGCTGCAATAGAGTCCAAAGGTCCACAAGTTTGTATTTTGCTCGTTTCTTTAAATTGGAACAGAAAAGTAGCAACTACTGAAAAAATATCTAACATTAGCTCTTTCATATTATATTTTTTTAAGTGAAAAATTTTCCCTTTTTCCCGTATTTATTCAAATATTTTGAGTCTATTCACACAACAAAGCCCTTTAGATGTTTTTGTTCTCTCCTACAACAAAGTACGCACTATTGTTTCTCTGTATTTCTACCAAAAATGATAAATAACCAACTATGGACACAGGAGTGCTAGGCTCTGCTTATCGCTGTCTTCATGTTACTTGCAGAATGAGTATAAAAAAATAGTACAAATCTCACTTGCACATTCACAAAAAGCATGTTGGAGCAACTAGAGACTCCTAGTGTTCGGGTTGTTGTGTGTTGAAGCCATGCATGGTAATACTGAAAGTGGGCTGAAGATGATTGCTGTACTGAAATGAAAATACAGATAAATTTGATGCAGTGTTTGTCTTCAATCCACTATGGATAATTATTTTTGTGCATTTACATGTGACCAAAACAATGCTAAAACTGGCAAATAAATAAACAGACAAGTAAATTTACCCATGGACATCAGAAACTTTCTTCAGAGAAAATCTAGCTTTGAGGAAAGGGTCTTCTCCTGCTTGTCATGTATTTTTGTGAGTTTGCTCCTGTACAGCTGTTTTCTTTCTTACTGACAAGCAGCAGTGTGTGAACTCTGAACAGTCACCAAGAATTGTTCTGAATATTCTCCAATGTTATCACTATTTCAGTTCCTTAAAATGTATAAACAGCAATCTCTAACATTTCAATTTCTGTGATCTAAATTTGATGCCTGACAAAAAGCGACAGCCCCAGGGGCTGCTGTCCCCAAGCTAGATATTTTCTGATTCCATGTCCCAAGAGGATCAGACACAAAGGCTACAAGGTTCAGGGGCTGGAGGAATTTCCTCCAAACAGACGTCTGAGCTACTGAGGCTGGAAATAGCATCACTGCCTACCGTGGAATGATATATTTTAGATGCACTTAGAATTTTTCATTCTTCCCCCTGCCAATCCCCATGACAGATACCCCTCCTGGGGATGAATCATGCTGCATGTAACAAAATGAGTTACTGAAGACATGCTACAAATATGTTTTTCTTACAATAAATTCATATGCATTTTGTTTGAAGAGTTGGAAAATGCAGTGTTTGATAAATAAATTAGTGGTGCTTCCTTCCTCAAGTCACTTCCTGATAAGCAGCCAAACAAATTTTCTTAAATAAATAAAGGAGAGAGCTTAAATAACCCAGTCTTCTTGGCTGGTCACAGTTGGTGCTGTATATACTGCTGCAAACTGTATATACTGCTGCAGAATAATACTGCTGCAAATTCTGTGTTGCTACTTTGCTCCTGAACAATACATAGAAGCCAGCTAAAGTCACAATGAATTTATTGTACCATTCTGGTTTCTAAATTAAAAGAGATAAAGCATTTACAGCAATTGTCGAAGCTTCAATAGATTAATTCTCAAGATTTTGTGTTTGTTTGATTTTTCCTCCCCAAAGTAAGGTCTTGCCCAGGTTTTGCAGTGTATAGATTGTACTTTCATGAAATATGGTTAAAATACGGGTATCTATATGTACACAGTACAAACACACTAAAAATTTCTCAAAGTGACATCAGCAGCAGGAAGTAACACTGCTGTAAATGGGGAACTAGTTCAGGGAAATAAAAAAAAAAAAAGGCAAGAAAACACTAAGCCAAAAAAAATCCCCACAAAACCTTAATGTGGAATTCACAATGGAATAAGCATGAGACTAGTCCCACAGACTTTAAAAAACCGGCCAAATGATGATATGTGCAGATTATGAGGCCAATTATTGGTGAACACACATGCAGGACTTTTTAATATATGTGAAATCAAAGAGAACATGCAAACTCTAAGCATCTCCAAAGGCTTTTTGGAAGTCCTATTAAAGTTATTCCTGATGTTTTACTGGAAGTATTTCCCATCTTCAATAAACTACTTTCATGTTCTGCCATCATGTCAATGAACCTTTGTAGTCATGCTTTGGCTTCCACAAGAACCAAAGCCAGAAGAAGTAGCTTTCTTCTTTTCACTTTTATAGTAACTACTTTTTCAATGTTTTGACCTTAATTCAGAACAGTTGGTTGCATTTTAAAAATGAAGTTCATTGAATTTAGAAAAGTTATAAACTTGAAAAACTTCTCAAAGATTCTGCTGACTACAAAACATTCTGTTTCTTCATATTCTTCAATTACATCCTTAGAGTGCATAGCAACACAAAGAGGATTGATAATTGATCTCATGCTTAAAAATTATCAGTCCTTTACGGGAACACCATTAAATTAGATTAAATACTTCTGTATTTAAAGAGATGATAGACTCCTCAAGTGGAAATAATAAGATTGGCAAATGTTCTTTTTCGAATGTAACATCATCTTAGTCCTCTTCAGGAAGCAGCAGTTCCCACTGAAGAAAGGCATAATGGCATTTCTATGCATACCCCAGTCTGTGGCCGTGTGCCATACTGTAGCACAAAGTCAGAGCCAGGCAACACTTTAGTCAGTTTAAAAATATTTAAACTTACCTTTGCCGAACAAGCTACCAGATTTTGTAATGAGACAATATTCATACAAGTGGAATGCTCCACAGAGGGGCTGCAACAGTGATAGATTTCCAAGGCAACGCGTATTTGAGATAACACATCATATTGCTACTCAGAATATTTCATTGCTGCATTCTACAATGTTTGAAATGGCAACTGTATAAAGGCATGGCTATATTACTGAAGATATAAATCATATGAGCCTGTCCACAGCATCAAGCACAGTGATCAATGGTCACCAAAGACGTCAGCTAGCTAAGACCCAGACAAATGGGTCAGAAAAACAACCAACAAGCCAATCAGCAACGGTTTCATATATATAATATATGAAACACATATATATATTATATATATGTGTGTGTGTGTGTGTATATATATATATATACACACACACACATACATACATACATACATATACACACACACATATCTACACACCCTTGTAAGCAACAAATGTTTCCCTAATGTAATAAAATCCTACTCCATGAAAGAGCTGGGTCACTAGCATCAACAGTTTTAGGTAGAAAACTACTTTAAAACATATATATATATATATATATATTCACGCTATTTGGTACAGTGGAACTGATAACAAACTGTGCATGAAATCAAACATGGGCACTGAGTTTGGTACTGGCAACTGAATTGCTAAAGAGGCACCAGTATCCAAAATCAAATTTGTTAAGCCTTACTCTAGAATAGCACTTACTTTTGATGACTACCAAAAACCAGCAAAAGGCTGTGTTTTCAAATTCATCTTGGGCTGTGTATTGAACCTGACCGGTCTGGTACTGGAAGCAGGAGGCATTGGCTATAGGAGCATCCTATATTGGCAGTAATTTCAGGTTGATCCCAGCTGACCTGTACTGGTTGTGTCTCGGTGTTATGGTGGTAGCATGTGGACAATCTGTAATGGTTGGAAGAATAGTGTCAGTGGAATTTAAGAGTGAGATGATTAGTGTATTAGGATGCTGCAAAATAATAAGCCATATTTCAGAAAGCAGAAAGCATGAGGTAATGATTAAAAGCACTGATAGATTTTGTGTACAAATCTTTTTAGAAAATATTTCCCACCTAACTAGACTCAAAACAGGTAACAATTTCACTTTGTATGAAACAGTGTGGCATTGCCAATTATGAAACCAGATGTAAGAAAAACTACTACTACTACTACAAAAAAAAAAAAAAAAAAAAAAAAAAAAGACCTTCAATAATGAAATCTGAGCTGTATAGGGAGTTCTAGAGAATCAGACATAAAACTATGCTGCCAATAAGTTCATTCTTTCAAGTAGAAGAGCACTTACCATCACTGAACAGCAAAATGGTCACTCTCAGATATGCATTTTCTCACCTAAATTTTAGGCAACATTGGACATTTTCACAAACACTATAAATTTAGATTTCAAAGCAAGAAATCTAACAAAAAGATCAAAATATAGCAGACTGCAAAAGTGCAGAGTGTAAATTTCTGTTTACAAACATAATTTAATCTGTGATATCATCAATAGCTTAAAGCAACACTCTGACTCCAGTTACTGTGGCTAAGGAAAAGCAACACATGGCTACACAAACACCCAGTGGCAATTTTCAAAATGGAAAATACCTGCTAGTATCTGAATTACTCTGAGACTATTTCTAGAGATTTATTATACAAATGTGCCTGACTGAAACCATTATTGCAAGGTAATACTGCCTAATAAGTAATAATTAATGAGCATTTCTCCTTATTTTTCCTCCCTTGTTTCCTTTATCTCTTGTTTCCCAGGGCAAAAGTTCACAAGCACAGGACTGTCCCATCTGTTTGCAAGATGACTGTTACCACTTAGGCTCTCAGCAACTTCAGTTTACAAATATTTGGCTGCAGTAAGAGGTGATGTACTTTTTATTATTGTGATTTTTTTTGTTTCTTTTTCCACTAAGAATGAACTCTCACATAAAACTCTAATTAACTCCAACTTAATAGTGATATTCAGTGCTAAAATCAGTAACTTATTATTAACTATCACTATTTATTTGTATTCTGTGTAATACTTCAAAACTTCATGGAGTTTTGAATACTACAGCAGGACTACATGCTGCAGGAATCTGGCGAAAGACACTGCCTTTACTCTGGATTGTTTACAGTTTTATCAGTAAAAAAAAAAAAAAGGTAACTTATTAGTAAGGTAACTAATTTTTCTCACTGCATTCAAGTTTATAGTAATTAGTCAATAGCATGCCTTAGGAGAAAAGTCTGAAGGTGTTTTAGCCAAATATATTGAAGAACTGTCAATCGAGAGGTTAGAAAGACAGAAGTAAGAGAGATACTGTCTTAGATATACTGTAAGAGGGATACTGTCTGACTGACAGGCATAGTAAATGGTCTTATTAGCAATATTCTGCACAAATTGACTTATAGTGGCTACGGTAAATAGAGTAATCTGTCTATGGGGATGTAGCCGCTGCCTCTCAAAGCCTATGAAACCAACAGATCAGGACAAAAAGCACAGTATGATAGTGAGTTACTTTAACTAGAGAGCCATAGAGGACTGATCTCAGAATGGTAAACATTCAATTATTGAATTTCAAGATGAAACATACTAATATAAGGATGTTTAAGAACATATACGATCTATTTCTTTCAAATTAGTCAGAAACATCTATCATTTGGAGCAGAAATTATCAGAGTGTTTATAATCATCAGGATATGAATCACACCAAAATAGCTTCTTTGGTATACAATGTCAGCGCACAAATAGTTTGTTTTTGAAATATTCAGGAAAGTATCTTTAAAATATCTCATCAACTGGTACATTGTGAAAAGACACAATCTGTGCCTTTACATCATCTCTGTTGTATTAGCATGACTCCAAAGCTAGCAAAAAATGATCATATTCTAGATAAGAATGCAACATTTCTGCCGAAGAATGACAGATAACTGTGCACGTAATTCTGAGCATCTCTTTCAAAATTATGCCCCTTGTGGCAACCTCTCTGTAGACAGAGCTACTGAACATTCGCATGTTCTTAGTATCATTGTAGGAAACCAAATTATCCAATGGAAAAAAAAAAAAAAAAAAAAAAAAAAAAAAAGAGCTTTATGTGCCATATAAAACTATAAGTATCAACCCATTTTTAGAGAATAAGGTAGCAGAGTTGACTCAATGTACTTTTAGCAATTAAAGTCCAGATTTTGAAATGTCAAGTGCTGTAGGTAAACTTTTCACAATACACACATGTAACTGAACAAAAGTTGCAGTGAATTTTTCTTTGCTATTCTACTTAAAGAGGAAAATATCACTTTATGTGGTGTCATTTTATGTTTTTCAAAAAAAAACTAATCTGAAACATTTTGCTAGTATCTGTACTTCAGAAAGCCGCAAACCCAAGTTGCTTTTCTCTTTTGTTCAGTGCATCTGATATTGATCCCCCATCATCTGGCAACTTCCAGATCATTCATCAGAATTCATTAAGAAATGGGTTTGATGTCAAATACTAAACCAGCTGTAAAGAAGAGGAGGAACCATGAATGCTGTGGAAGAAAAAAAAAAAAAAAAAAAACAACAACAACAACAACAACAAAAAAAAACCTATTATTTGACTATCTGCTTTAAAAGCAGAATTGTTACATAAGTAATGTACTTCTCAAACTTTACAGTTTAACTTTGGGATGGATTTCTCTTTGTCAAATGCATTTTTTGTTTGCTCAAATTAGCACAAGAGAAAAAAAAAAAAAAAAAAGAAAGAAAGAAAATTTAACAACACAAGATTTTTTTTTTTCCAGGAATCAGATGGATGACTATGCTTTTGGAAATTCAGAATTGTCTAACATACCACAAAGAGAGGTAAAAGATAACCTTTTCATGGATTCGCCTGACTGTTCTCATGCTTTAGTTAAACAATAAAGTCCCAAGATCAGATACAATTCCTTCTGGTAACAAAATTTATAATCTATATTCTTAGTAGAGAAGTGATCTAATCAATAAAAAATAAATACAAAACTTGAAGAACAGATACAAAGACCAGCGACAGGACCTGGAGGTCTGTTGCCAAGGGATGCCATATATTAATGTATGTGTTTATTTACTGTTCAATTAGCTACCATAGATACAGGGAGAAGACAACTCATCTGAGTAATCTAACTGTCAGGGTAGCTGATAAAAATGCCTTTACATGCTGGAAGGCAAAAAAGGCAAAAAATATAACATGCTGGAACATAATGCTGGATGGTAAGCAAGAGATTGCAGTTAAAGCTGATCTCATGCTTTGATATTGGGGAGAGAAGATATGCTTGAAAAACACAAAAATATGTCTAATGGTTTATTTCTTATATTGTTCTACTTGTATTATCCATTATCAGACATTGATACACTGGAATGATAAAACCGCTATCATCATCTCAAAAAAAAAAAAAAATCAGAAAATTAATGATTGATCATGGCTTTAAATGATAAGTACAACAATTTCCTTTGAATCATTCATCAAAAGGATTGAGAATTATATCAGGAAGAAAAATTACAACAGTTCAACTTCTGTCATTTTCCCACCTTTTACTAAGTAATTTACATTCCTTTTTATTTTCCATATTATGAGATCATTTCCAAAGCTTAAAATAACTTGGCAGCTCTACAAACATATTCTGTTTTCTTAACGTTTCCTTGTTTACTTATTACATGGATTAGGTTTTTGAACAGTGGTTTTCCGGCAAATCAGTAAAAGCCTGCAATGTTCTTTAAAAGGAAGATAAGAGTCACACACAGTGCAATCCAAATGGCTCAGTTTTGAAAACTATTAAATGTATCCTTAAAAATATCAATCCTAATGAATCCACGAACAAAACTATCTGTTAAAGTGAGTGTTTACCAGTGTAGAAAAGATTATAAAAATCATCCCAGAGAAATCATTCTCTCTCTCATGTTTAATGACTAACAAGCTGGATGTAAAGAATGGTATATTCAATAAAGACTGTCTTGAATATAGTCTTTTTGTAAATGACGTGTTGCCCTCCACAAGAGGCATGTTGTTCTGGCATTTTAGAGGCAAACTGAAAAGCATTTAGTGTAAGAAATCCAGTGGTTTGTGATTACAAATCATTACTTAAACAATGTGAACTTGAACATATTTTTCATGATGTTCCTTATAATTCTGAGTTTCAACTACAAAACCCCAAATATTTCGTTATCAGAAAAGCTGGAAAGGAAAGTGCTTTTAAGTTAAGACAACAATTTATGATGCCATCTTCCAGAACAGCCAAAACTCACTGGTTGGGTTTTGATTTATGGAACTAAAAAGGAGTGCTGGGAAGGCCAGGAATAATTTATGGAAATAATCAAACAGCTGGTTTGAGTCACTGTAGATCCATTGCAGTTATCTGATTTACAACAGCCAAATAATTTAATCATATAAAATTTGGATAAAAACACCAGCGTATTGCAATTCAACCTTTGTCAGTCTAAGATAACATTTACCTGACTGTTTTGATTTCTTCGGTTCTTTGATTTTTACAGCAGTAGCTCAATGTTCCATAGCTTGAGTTAAGCAGGAGACTTCTCTCAGAAGACGTCTTCTCATTATCTCTTAAAAGTTAAAGTTAAATGTTAGAACACCTTGCAAAACTCTATAGGATTTCATATGCTGCTTAAAATAAATCAATAAATATTTTTAGAGATAGAGATAGAAAAGACTTTGTTTGAAGACACTCTTTTCACCTTTGACTTTTCTTTTTAAAGAAAAAGTCAAGGGTGAAATGTTCTTCTCATGTTACATAGCAATATATACATGAGAGATGAATATAACTTGAAATAGTAGATATGAACCCCTAAACTGAAAACAGTTTTTGATTACCACAGACTCCACAAGTGCTCTTACTACCACTTTAAAATCTTGAAAGAAAAATAGAGTGCGTTGAACTAATCTGTTTTTTAATGGCCATTGCAAGTCATTTTAGGTCATGTAATTCAGGCGATCTCTCTTTGAATCAATATGAAAAGTACTGCTTTTTTAAAGGGCCTTAGAACATACTTTAAGAATTTCATGATTCTTCGTAGCAGACACTGAACATTGGTGCTTTAGCACAGCACACTTGCAAACTGGCTGGAGACTGTGTGCAATCATAATGGACACTTTAAAAAATAATACGTTTCAGGTTAGACACTCTACAAAGAAAGCACATAGGAGTATTAATCACTTGTTAACCTATCAACTCCAGTAGAAACTTGGCTTTGGCATCTTTTGGAATGGACTATGCTAAAACTTCGCTGAAGTATGAAAAGAAAAAAATAAAAACCTAGAATTTCATCAGTGTTAGTAATTATCTGTGGAGAGATTTCAAACACAGTGGGGACTGAGAAATTATTCTGGAATGCCCCAGTGCACTCACAGTTTGTCTGATTATACCAGCGTTACTAACAGATTTACCTGACTTACCATGGCCCAGACCAGACCATGCCATTCACTGGAGTCATACCCTGCTACTCTTTTGAGTACCATGAATGAGAGTGTGTTGGGAAACTGAGCATAGGAAAGTGTTTCAAACCCCCCAAATTTAGGCTCAGTACAACCTCAGTTATGAAGTAACCCAATGGTCACAAGATATCTTGACAATTACCTCCCATTTAATAAATCTAAGATAAGATGAACAGATTTTATTTATTTTTTTTTTTACAAAATCCAAACAAATAACAATTACAATGTTTTATTGTTGTTTGTTTTTTAAGTGTCATGTGGCAAAGGAAAAAAAAAAAGTTTAATTTGCTTAATCTTAGGTCAAATGTGAAATGTGTCTGTGAAATCCAGAACACCACTCTGAATCCACACTTACCATGTAATCACAAATTCCATCCTATTTCATTGCCAGGGAAAACTTCAACTTAAAGAGTCAATAGGTTTTTCCATTTCTTCCAAATACACCTAGAATTTGCTTGGATTTGTTTTCAGCATTTTATTCAGTGGATGCGAATCTTTATTATTATTCTTTGGTTTTTTTTTTTTGTTTGTTTGTTTGTTTTTATATCCTATCTTCATCAACGCTGTATTAGACTAAAATAAAATAAAATAAAATAAAATAAAATAAAATAAAATAAAATAAAATAAAATAAAATAAAATAAAATAAAATAAAATAAAATAAAATAAAATAAAATAAAATAAAATAAAATAAAATAAAATAAAATAAAATAAAATAAAATAAAAAAGTCTGGACGCCTACCTGGGCAATCTGCTCTAGGGTACTTGCTTTGGCAGGGGGGTTGGACACAATGATCTCTTGAGGTCCCTTCCAACCCCTATAATTCTGTGATTCTGTGAAAACAGTAGGGAGAATGAAAATTATACTTGAGTATTTTCCTCTTGCCATCACATGCAGACAATTATCTTCAGCTATAGCAAAACAACCAGGAAATGCTAGAGTGGCAGTGGTCAAAACAACCTTACTTCAGCCATCTTTTGTGCAAATATTTATGTTTATGTTATGTAGTCCATGCTTACACAGTCACTGCTATTATTTTTATGGAAATTGCTCCTATCTAATGGCATTTGGTGGTTCTGATCTGAGAAGTAATCCAGACTGCCTATCATGCTTTTACAAACCCCCACCTCATTTTGCCAGAAGGGGACATAGCAAGGTAGAGGTATACTGCAAAAGCTCATGTCTTGTTCTTATTTCTGTCCTGCCAAATATCCTTGACTTTTTCTGTAGAGTTCCAAGCATGTCTTCAAACTAAACTTCACCTTAGTAATGTTCATTCTTCTTTCTCTTTTAGGGCTAGGTTTGCACTGCTTTATTCTCAGCTAGCTATTTTGATTAAAGAATCAAACTATAATAGCAGGAAAATGATTTTCTGTTTTCCTAAAACATGAAACACATTTTTGTATTTCACATACACATGTCCTAAATATTGAAATTGAAGACCTAGGACACAAACCACTGAAATGCTGTACCCTAATAGCAGGAACTGAAGTCAAAAGAAACTGTATTCGAGTATACCAATGATAGTGGTTTGCCTTGTTGCTGCATCTCAGCTTCTTCCATTGCAGTATGAACATAATTCTACCTTCTGACCATTCAGTGGTTACATGTCATAAACCAATTAATGGAGGGTGAAGAACTTGGTTATTATAGACATGAATGTCACCAGTAAATGAGTCATTTTGTTTTTCACAGTAGGATTTGAAAAGTCTGTAATGAATAAGATAATAAGAATACACATTAATAAAGGAGGATAAAATTAAATAACAAATGGCTGACTAACAATCAACATTCATCTTGTTTGCTCCTTGGAGGCTTGGTTCCTGTGCAAAAAGGAGCATGCAGTCGCATCATTAAAGGCTGAATCATAATGAATATTCACAGTGACAGAACAAAGTTTCACAAGAATCCACCTTCTCTAATTATCTGAGTTTGCCTGAATTCAGTATATAATAATATATTTATGACATAGCTAACATAAGCTGGAAGCAGCCACAAGAAAAGCCCTTATAAAACCCACATATGCTTGGGCAGAGGCATGCTCAGTTTCCACAGGGTTTGGCTTTTGAGATCTGTGTACTCTGGTCAGCACAAGGAATTACGAAAGGCATAGTTCTTTTTCCTTTTTTTTTTTTTTTTAATTTATTTTCTCCTTTTTTTTTTTTTTTTTTTTTTTTTTTTTTCCTCCAGACTTTTTGGTCTGGCAGTCTTTAGAAAGTACTGAGCACATGCAAAATGTGACTTCAGAAACTTACAAGTCGGGTAAATTTGAAGTGTTTCCCAAGACAGAATAAAAAGTACCACCCTGACACATCCAAAATTTGAAGTAATATCTCAGGAGAAGAAATCCACCAGAGCATTTCCATTACAATACTTCAATAATTATTTAAACAAACAATTCAGCGTATCTTTCCAGCTCCCTGGAAATGTCTAAAACATTTTGGCTGTATTTTTAATGAAATCTCAGACTAAGGCAGACATCCAACAAAGGAAATAAATCCCAAAAATCAGAGTTTTATAAAGTTATAAGCAGCAGAAAATGTAATCTTACAATGAGAGTTGTCATGAAACTTTAATACGATGAGTGTTTCTGTCTACACTACCTATAGAGCAAATTAATCTATGCTTTCATTTTGCAGTGAAACCACGTATGTTCTATTTGTACCAAAATGAATTTTTATAGGTTTGATCTAAAGCCAAAAAAGCTACAGTAGAAAGTCTATTCTTGATAAAGGAAAGAAGCAAAACAGCTAGGCTGGACTCATAGGTTGAGTTAAAAACAAATAAAAGAGTAACAGAGATATAGAATTTGCAGAGTAATGTGGTCTAAGCAAAAAAAGTAATATTCAAAGCACGACAGGAGCATGAGAGAAAATAAAAGGTATACCTATCAAGTTGTCCTCATTTTTACCTTCGTCCAATCACAGAAATAAATGCAATGTTTTCAGAGCTACTGAAAAACAGAAAAAGCCTCTTTGAGAGAGATCTGGAGGGGTTGGGCAAGGGTTGGAGGAAGAGGAGAAATTGGACATACACAGCAACTACATCGAAGTTCAGCAACTGGAAGTTATTTTCTAAAATTGTCTGCTTTCCATATAGTCTGCATGTATGAGGAAGGTAGTTCAGAACTAGTAGCTCTCTGGCTACAGCCATTAGGAAGACCACAGAGGGCTTCCTGCAGAGAACTCTTTGCACCAATTCTTCAATAAAATGTTTCACTGTTTTCCTCTCCAGTGTCTGTGGACAAACTGGCCAACACATCAAGGACTCGGCTTTGACAACCTGATCGTCTTCTCCCTCCTGTTAGCTTTGTTCCACATCTGTATTTTTTGTTTGTTTGTTTGTTTTTTCCTGGCTCCAGAGCCAAATATACAGCTAAGCACTGTCTGAGTAAAATGTTACTGGATGGCCCCTCCTCTCTCCAGGCCATCCAACATCACAAGAGATGGCCAGAATTTAATTAAGCAGATTGTTTCATTGCAGTAACATTGCAAAGCATACAAAAATCTCTCTCCTCTTCATTTGGTCATGGAGTTAGTAAAACTTTTGAAGGAACATTTAAAATACATTATAATATTTAAAAGTTGTACCCACCTGCACATGCACATACAATATTCAGCAAGCAGTGCTCTGTTGAGTATGAGTGATGAACCAGATTCCTAAGAAAAAACAGAACATTAAAAAACAAATTTAGTATAAATGGCAGTGATAGGAACTTCTTTACACATTTCAGCATGTTTACAATCCAATTTATTATCCACATACTTATTATACTTACACATTAAGCTAATGTCTGATTTGTCCAATATTAGTTGTTTTGATTTGGGATTTTTTTTTTTTTGAAAGGCACAAAGAACTATGCAATTGAGAATGCAATTCCAATACAATGTTAAACACTGAATTATTTTTATTACACAAAAATGGTCATACAAAGCTTGGCTGGAAGCCAACTTTGCTGAAATTCAGTTATTCTATTCTGAGTAAACTATAAACTGAATTCTAAACAGACCACTTTTTTTGTTTGTTTCTTTTTAAAGCAAAGAATTTACAGAATTATTCTAAGTTTAAAAATTGTGGTCAGTAGCATAATGTGATCACTACATTGTTGATTTTGACACAGGCAGAAATAAGTTATCAGATATTACTTGTTCACATCACTTACAATAAGGGTTCTTTCTGCTAAAATATTTAGAAATGAGGAATTTATTACATTCTCTCTGAGACCAATAGGTAAAATGCTACACATACACACATACACACACACACACACACACACACACAAAAAAAAAAAAAAAAGTAAGCTTCTGCTGGCTTTCTGTATTGGTAGAAATTCTAATTTTTGGAGCAAATGTTAGTACAGTAAGGGAGTAGATGGTCTTTGCAGTTTTATGTTGAAAACTTCTCGATTTCTAAAAGTTTTCACATGATAGTGGAGAAAAATAAATAAATAAATTAGATTTCTAGTCTACTAGAAAAAAAAAAAAGGGAGGGGGGATGGGGTGGGAGGGAGGGATTTTTAGCCTGCTAGAAATCAGTAGCCATTAGGAAAAATAATTTATAATTTTTCAAAACCAGGGTCACTTTCCTCTTTCAAAGAGTAGCGAGGGTTTTATTTTATTTTCCCAAGACCACCCTCTCAGAATTAAAGCAATGACTCACCACAGGAGATTAGCAATTATTACTGTTAAATTTATCTCTGAAAATTCATATCCCTGTCCTGATTTTAACAATTTATAGCGCTGCTACTTCATGTGGAATAACCATATAAACTGCTTCTAAATTAAGAACTCCTTCAATTATCGTATTGGTATCTGCATGAGTCCAATTTAATTTAATGAGAATGGCATTCATTAAAGAGAGCTTAAGGACATGTCTGGGAATACACAGTGTGCAAAGTCCAAGTTTTACCCTAGCTCTTGTACTCAGCAAAGAGGTTCCCACTTAAACCCCATATCTCCGTATCTTGTAACCCACCCTTCTACACACTTTCTGTGGAATCAGGTAATACATTTCTGGAAGCTTCAGACTGTTCTAAACATTGTTTAGGTAAATATTTAAATTTCAGTAATTTTTTAGTTTCTTCTGCAGACATAACTTCTTTAAGTTCAGTTGAAAAAGATGACATGCCAGACAAGTTTTTCCAAGTTTTGTATCTCTACCCTACTCAGCTTCCAGCAGGGCTGGAATCACAAATCCGTAGGGCTTGGATTATAATTAAATATTGAAGAATTTATTTTAAAGATGTAAACCATAAGAACATTTCCTTAAGACATATATTGCTGTATGATAATGGCTGGTTTTAAAGCACGAGTTCTAGGCTGTACACACCAGACAATGCTAACTCAAAAAAAACAAACAAAACAAACAAACAAACAAACAAAAAAAAAACAACCTACTAACCAAACAACAAAAAAACTTTTGCTTTTGTATTGTCCACCATATTGGAGGTGACAGATTTATACTGCTCTTTCAGACAGACTGTGTATTTCAGGAATAAATTTAACAGCGGCTGCATAGGAAAGACTGTCTTGAAAAGACTTTTCTGATGCTTATTCCCTGAAAAATAAATTCCAGAAAAATAAATTCCATGATATAGTCACTTTGATTATCAAGAAGTAATATTCCAGCACTGACATAATCAGCCAACAAATAATTTCTCATTAATGAGTTACAACATTTATTCAAAACTGACCTCCATTCCAGTAAAAACACAATTCATTAAACAAGATATACAGTGTATATTTGGTCAAACGCAGGCTGTTGAGCAGGTAGCCCTCACTAATTGCTCACGGAGGAGAGAACAGCAATCTCTTTTCATGCCCTGCCTGGGGAGTCAGGCAGTCTGGGTTCTATTCCTGGCTCAGACATTAACAAGTCACTTCATTGCTCTGTTCTTCATCCCATGTACTTAAATGAGATAACAACATTTCTCTTATTATTTGGTCCCTTCAAAATACAAATCCCTTATAGCAGAAGTACTGTGTATCAAAAGTGTCTAGCTCCCCTGAGGCTTGAATTTTGTTTGGGCTTTCTAAATGTTTGTTTGTTTTACAACAGTGCAAATATTCGTTACTGTATCTGTATTTTTAAGGTTAAAATCTACAAAGCTTAAAGTTCCTAGATCCTCACTGAAGCATCTAAATAAGAAGTAGAAGCCCATACAAAAAAAAAAAGAAGCAAAGATGACGACCAATCGAAATTTGAGGAAAAGACTCATCAACAAAATCAGGCATTGCTACTTGCTACGTGGCAGTTAAGAACATCAAAGAGGGTTGAAGTAAATCTGTGTAGATCATATTCTAGTTCTTCAGAACAACGGATTTACTATTAATCTCTGCTTTTAATTTTAAGATGTTTAAATAAAACTTTTTTTTTTTCTTTTTCCAAGTTCTGCACCTGCTAGCCCTTTGTTTCTTAGTTTGTTTAGTTTAGTTGTTTTTTCCTATTCCGCAGTGAGTTTCACTCTTCCTAACAATAGTTCTCATTCAGGAACTCCCGTTTATCCCTCCACGTTTACATATACTATAAACAGACAGAGTCAAATTTACTTGAGAACACATTCTCACAATTGTCTTTATTATTTTTTCTTCTGAGAATTATGCTGTGCTTCATTTTGGCCCCTAGACAAAATCTGCCTACCTACAATGAGTACCTGTAAAGGATTATGGACCCTCCAGATTTACCATAGAGGAATGGGAATGCTACTGGCCATTAGTGTATTTCTATTACGGATCCTGCAATAGCCTTTTGAAACATTACAATGAACATGTTAAAAGTGTTAGAATCTGCTGGGGCTAACACACCCCGGCAAGAAATATTATTAAAATCAATAGAAGTTCCAATTAAAATATTCTCTGAATCCTTCTTCAAGGGATTAACAGAAGTGTCAACAAGAACTTTTCTTACAATAGACATGATTCCCATCAAAGGCTGAAGCAGTCAAACATTACCTGATATCTTTTCTGGGCCAGCCATTCTCAGAAATTGCTACCCTTGCAGTGGTGCAGCACAAAACCACTTCTACCTTGGAAGCACTGTGGCTTTCAGGCAGGAAATGTGGCTTACGCTGCTCCCTCTGCATTGACAGAGTATTGACTCACTTTTCTTAGACAGCAAGCATGTAGGCAAGTTTTCGATTTGTATTTACACAGAGCAAAAGAAAACAGAGGCAATCCTCATTCACAACAGCAATTCTTAGGTTGCTTATCTCATTTGCTGTGCTCTCCTACTGATCCAGCTGCTTTTTCACTAGCACCTCCTTGACTGTACAAGGTGCCTACATCACAAGGCCCAAGTTTCCTCTCTTTAGAAACTACAGCTTGGAATGGGGAAGAATGGATTTAGTCCCTCTTCCACTGGAGAAAACATATGGAAGCAGCTGGGTATACAGCAAGTAACTAGGGTGCACTAAAAATATCCTTAGGTATTCTGGACGCTTAAGCAAAAACACAATTAAGAAACATGCTAAGTATTGTCAGCTGAGTTACTTTTTCATATTCTGTAGGCTATCCCACAATTACGTAAAAATAAGTAAAGAGAAAAATATACCATGTTTGCAAAAATGCATGTAAGTATTAAAAAAATGAATAAATAAAAGTGAAATAAGTCACGCAACTTGGTCTATTCTATTTAGGAAGTTTCAGACAGTATGTAAAGATCAATTTGGCGTGCAGCACCACTCCAGACAATTAATATCACTGACATTTCTTTGCAATTTCAATTCGCCAGAGGATAAATTCACAACATGTGAAAGGGAAGCTGCTTTTCTATCTTTTTTTTTTTCAATAGTATTTGAATTTAAAATTAGATTCTAAATTCTAATGAAATTTCTCAGCTTTCCTGATAAAGGGAAAGGTGTTAATTTTCAACATGTATTATGGTTTAATGAAAAACTACAGTAACTTATATGGTTTTTAAGCTAGCAGAACATTAGAGATATTTAATTCACTGTCAGCAAAACACCATAATACAAAGTTCTGAATGAAACATATTTCCCTCCATTTTAGTCACCAGCCTAGCCTGTTTCCTCTAAAGCACATTATATATTTTGAATAAGTGTATTGATATCAAGACTTTTTGTTCAAATAGTGTATTCATAAAAGTAAAAAATAAAATAAAAACAGATACTGCTACATTCTCATACTTTCCAGTCATAAACATATTTTTATTTTTAATTCCTAATTTTCAATATCCATGGCATCTTTTAGCAATGAAATGACGAAAAGACTCAGATGAAAAGCTTACGTTGCTAATTATTTAACTTGCAACAAGGAAAACCAGAGAGTTTGACATGATAGTTTCAAAGCAATTCTATATAAATCCACGGATTTTCATGGGGGAAATAGTTCTTCCCTTCTTATTAGCACAAACTCCATATTTACTTTGGGCAACCTCAAAAATAATTATTCAAAAATAATTTACACTGAAAGCAGCAGTATGGAATACTTTGCTCCTTTTTATGTATGAATTAAGGAAATGATAAAAAGCAGTTTAAGGGGCAAGATATATATTTGGAGAAGGGAGGGGAGAGAATGTGGAGGAGACCACAGCAGAATCTTGCCTGAGAAATTACTTGAAAAGTAAGTCTGGGGTAGGTTAACTCACTCGGTGAGTTTAGAACTCATGCATGTCCTGAATCAAATGCAGTTGAGCTTATCAC